TCGACTTTGCAGGATGTAGATTGGACGTAAAAAGTACCTCGGTACTTGTCATCTACTAGGGAGCAAGCCTTATATCGTGGCACAACAAAAAGCAAGCGTGTGTTGCTCATCAACCGCAGTAAGCTGAATACATTGCAACTGGAGCCGTTGTGCTCAAAGCATTTATCTCAAGCAACAACTAACAGATTATGGAGTAACTCTAAACAAGGTACCTCTCGATTTGTGACAATACTAGTGCAATAAACTTAACTAAGAATCCTATTCAACACTCTAGAACTAAGCATATTGAAATTAGACATCACTTTATTAGAGAACACGTATCTAGGGGTGACTGTGAGATTTTATTCGCTGAATCCAAAAACAAGCTAGCCGATTTATTCACTAAACCACTTCCTAGAGATAGACTTAATATGCTTAGGACTGAATTAGGAATTCTAGATATATCTAGTATTGCATAACTAATTCGTTACGTTGATTGTATGCTTTTCAACAAGTCGATAACAAGTTCAATCGATTAATAATTGCATGAATAACTTGATATTATTTGTTTCAATCGATTGAAATTGCGAAATAATCTGTTGATTTCCTGATTCTTACTCTTTGGTATTGATGTGTTAGTAGTTCAATCGATTAAATAAGTTTTTAATCGATTTATTTCATTAATCTTGTTGCTCGCACATTTTCTTCTATAAATCAATCGATTAAATCTTCGATTCAATCGATTGAATTCACTAATGGTACTCGAATAATTTTCTTTTACAAAATAATCGATTTAATTTTTGATTCAATCGTGTATTTCACTTATAAGTATCTACGATTACAAAATCAGCTTGGTTTCACGAAATATCAATTGATTATTTTTCTTCTAGGACTAGTTGTATGTACTTTGTCTCTAACCGATTTCTGCAGAGTAAACCGAAAGCATTTACAACAAGATAAACTTCAACTACTCTCTTAAATATCAAAGATATCCAATAAAAGTTGAATGACTCGATTGATATCGATGTGTGGGTAATTAAAGTGTACAAGTAGCAATTCTCTCTCCTCTTTATCATCACCGCATGTAAACAATAAATCAAGAAAGACAAAATTTTTTTTTTAAGCCGATAAAGATTGTGTATTCTCATTCCTATAGTATTATTTTCTTCTTTGAGCTTCTCTTTTCTGCTCTTCTCTCGTTCGTTCATTCCAAAAATCAAATATGTTCAAGCGCACAAAGTCTCGGTAGGAAGAAGTCCAAGCAGAGGCGAGTCCTCTACTAGCAAGGCAAGAACGTAATGTTGGAGGAAGGATTGAAACTTGGTTCAATGGGGACCAAGAGAAAATGGATTTGTTTATCCATGAATTAAGCAGAAGCAAGTCAACATTCCAAAAATGTTAAAGTTCTCTTGGTTTGATGCCGAAGGATTCGTAGGCATTCTAAGTTACCGCAACATCAAAAACTTCGACTGTTTCTTGAGTTGAATGGTAGAATTTACCCCGACTTAATTAAAGTTTTCTTCACAAATTTATCCTTTGAAGGTTCCACTTTGTCAACCCAAGTTAAAGGAGTAGACATTGAGATAACACCTAATGTCCGGAAGGAAGTTGCCGGAATAAAAGATGTAGGTGTGAAAGTCACCAAAGGGTGTACTTCGATGTTGAAGAATTTAATAAAGTTCAAGATTTCCGCTCTTGCTCGAAGAATAGGCATGATTCTCGTAAGTTCATTCAACACTGGAAAGTTGAAACCGGAAGAAAGGATTCTCGCTTTCATCGTTTCTTGGCAGCTTACACCCAGTGGGGAGCAATCATGCAGTGCTAAATGAAGGAGATTTAGTTCTCGATGTACCGCATTCATCACAGTATCACGTGTGAACTGGGTCTTTGTCATCAAGGATCACATGATCAAAGCCAAGAGACTTAGTGACTTCGTGTATCCCTATGCTATTCTGATTTCTAAATTTTTAACACATTTTGGTGTTGATGTTGAAGGAGAACTTGTTGAAACCGTCCGACCAACAAATGAAATAAACAATTCCGTTCTTCACAAAATGGGATTTATTAAAGTTGATGGTGAATGGATCTCGAAAGAAGATGCCGGGAGAAGTGAAGAAAGTGAAGAAGAAGAGCAAGAGGAAGGAATCAACACCGATAATATTCCCGGAACTTCGCAAAGACGTTCGTCTCGATCCAATGGAAGAAGTGAACCCAATGGAGATGATTCCATACAATCCACCGCTCGACCGTGGCACTCCTCTCGTCTCAGCTCGAAAGAACAATGTTACATCAAATGAGCGAACCGCAAACCGACCAAAGGAGGCATATGGAGATGACTCGCCGCTCCGAGGGCTCTAGCAAAGATTATTTGGATGAAAATTTCATTGCAAGGTTCCAGCATATTGATAATCAACTAGAAGATATTTACAACAGTGGTTGTGGAACCGCAATTCAATCAAGGCCCCGTGGACGAATGAAGATTTTCTATGTTTCGTTATTCTGTTTTCTTTTCATTTTTTTTGTTCTCGGTTTTTATTTGGGGTTCCCACGTGGACTCATTGGACTCGTAACTACAACAATCTATTTGATGCAGCTCAAATAGGGGGAGAAGTATTTTGCTTAAAACTCGTCACTACACACACACCACAAAATATATGTCTCTGGTCCGGTATTTTTGTTTTGCAGTGCAAGTGGTTATTTGTCTCCATCAAATAGGGGGAGATTGAAGCACTTGGTGGATTTGATGAAGACATAGATATAACTTAGGTCGTGGGTGTGTAGATGATTAGTGGTTTTAAGTTTAAGCACTTAATCTCTTGATAGGCCATTATATTTTGTGATAAGCACCTTAAAATGATGCATCTCATTGAAAATCATTTTTCTCGCATGAAAAACTTACGTTTAAGTATTAAAAGAATTAACTAAGTTTTTTAATCTGTTGAAAAGGATTTTTAATCTGCTAAAATCACTTAACATAATAAATGGTCATACATAATCGAAAATTCAATTGATTGATTCGCTAAATCAACAAGTTAAAATAACTCAATGAATTTTCAATATCAAGTTTCGCATTTTCAACTGCTGAAATGATTTTAAATCATGAAATAAAGATCTTTTCACTAAGAGTTTTTAGAAAATCAATCGTGAAATATTTTTCAATCTGAAACAGAGACTATTTTTTAAACTAAGTATTTGCAGGAATTTAATCTGTTGAAATGATTTTCAATCGATTGAAACAGAAGTGTCGTCATTTTTCATTAAGTTGTTTTAATCCATTAAAACTCGAATCAATCGATTAAATGGAACTTTAAATGAAATCAATCGATTGAATCGATGTCTTAATCGATTAAAAGGAACTTTAAATGAAATCAATCGATTGAATCGATCTTTTAATCGATTGAAATAATACTCTAATCGATCATAGTTTTGTTCTAATCGATCATAACTCATTCTGATCGATCATAGTTTTATTCTGATCGATCATAACTCAGCCTAATCGATCATTCTTCTGCTTTAATCGATCAGATTCTCTTCTAAACCTGCTTTACCGCTAACCAACTTATCTTTTGACTCTCTAAAACAGCTTTTAACAGATGAAACGTTCTGCTTTTTCTGATTTACTCTATATATACAGATTTGATCCATCTTTTGAATATACAATACAATACACTACTTGAGAAAACTTGTGAAATCAATCTGTGAAATTTTCATACGTGACTTTCTCTCGCATTCAAGAATCTTTTTCATATCATAAGGTGTCATGGATCGAATTGTGGTCATTCAAAGAGAGAAAGTGCCGATAGAATTGGTTCTGACAATTAGAAACTTCAAGTCCAGGTTTATTCTTTTCATATTCTTTTGTAAAGTTTGATTGTGCAGGTTGGATTGTAATCCGCACTTGGTACAAGAATCGGATTTGGTTACTCGGGTGGTTTTCAAGATTCTGTCTTGTGGGTTTTGCAAGATAGTTCTTGGGGTAGATTGGTGAGTATCTACTGGTTGTAATTTTCACTTGGTATTAGTGAAACTTGACCGGTTTGTCAAGAACTCGGATGTAGCTCTGGATTAGAGTGAACCAGTATAAACTTGTGTGTTAATATTTTTCTTTCATCTCTTTTAATTTTTGTCTTTAATTGTACTGTGTTTAAATCAAATTACCTTTGCAAAGATTGAATAAAGATAACTCATTCTTCCAAAAGAAAGTAAGATTTGCGAAAAAGTTTTAAAGTTCAATTCACCCCCCCTCTTGAACTCAACCATTAATTCTTTCAATTTGGTCAACCAACAAGATGTGTTGAGGAGCTTCATTTGCTTCCCTTACTTTAGCCTTGTTATAGGTCATGTCCACATTAGAAGGTTATGAAGTGATATTTCAAGTTAGTATCAATCCAAAATATATAGTCAAAGTTTGGTTTTGGATATGATAATATGACTTATATAATATGCATTCTTTTTGTAATATAGTTAAGTTAATGTTTGATAATTTTCTTTTGTAATATGTTTGTCATGATCTTTTGATGCATAATTGTTTCTTGTATTTTGAATCTTAAGTGTAAAATTTCCTATTTTTGCACAAAATAAATATATATTCTTTCATTCCAATCTATGTCCTCTTTTGCTATGACTAGATGATGTCATATTATATATAGAAAATTATTGTTATAATTGCTATTATATCAGATATATATATTTTTCCATCAACATGTTAAAACAAACAAAATTGAAAAAGATTGTCAAATTAGGGTAGGTGACATTACTCGAAGAATTATGAACTCACGACAACAATTTTGTATATAAATCAATAGAAGAAAAGTTACACATTGAGTGATTCAAGAAAGCAAAAAATATATAGATGAATATGAATATTGGTTACAAATCGTTTCTATTTTATCAATCATCTGCAACACAACAATTTTAGCACTAAACCCCTAGGTTATCTATTTCAATGTTCAATTATTTTTTCATTTTGCTATTTTTCACAAAAATTAATCAAATGCTTTAGAATAAGAAAGACATACTATTTACCCCATCAACCACACAACATTTATTTCAGCCAAAGAGGCGGGTGTCCATTGCCACGAGACCACTACCTGCACCATTAACAATGTAGGTCATTCTGCCAAGGAGGAGGGTTTCCATTGCCACACTACCTCTTTAGTCAACTTCTGGCATGACAACTCCATTGCAGTCAACAATCACAGAAAAGAAGTCATATTCTGCCAAGGAGGAGAGTTTCCATTGCCACACTATCTCTTCAGTCAACTTTTAGCATGCCAACTCCATTGCAGTCAACAATCACGGATAAGAAGCCATATTCTGTCAAGGAGGAGGGTTTCCATTGCTACACTACCTCTTCAATTAACTTCTGGCATGACAACTCCATTGCAAATAACAATTACGGATAAGAACCCAAGATAAGAAACCAAAGGAAAGATAGATATTCAAGATAGGAAAGATAGGATATTTGTATTCAAGATTGTAATTGAGATTCTTACCCAAGATAGGAAAGATAGGTCATCCGTAAAGATAGGTAGGTCATTTGTATTCAAGATTGCAATTGAGATCCTTTACCCCAAGGAAAGATAGGTTATTCAAGATTACAATTGAGATCTTTTACCTCAAAAAGATAGGAAAGATAGGTAATCTTGTATTCAAGATTGCAATTGACACAAGATTGCAATTGAGACCTTTACCCAAAGATAGGAAATATAGGTCATCTGTATTCAAAATTGCAATTGAGATTCTTTACCTCAAGATAGGAAAAATAGGCAATTGAGATCCTTTACAAGATAGGAAACATCTGTATTCAAGATTGCAATTTAAATCCTTTATCTGTATTCAAGATTGCAATTGAGATCCTTCACCCCAAGATAGGAAAGATAGGCAATTGAGATCCTTTACCCCAAGAAAGGAAAGATAGGAAAAATAGGTCATCCTGTAAGATAAACAATTGAGATCCTTTACCCCAAGATAGGAAAGATATGTTAGGTCATCCTGTAAGATAGATAGGTCATTATCCTATAAGATAGATAGATAGGTCATCATCTTATAAGATAGATAGGTTGTCATCATGTAAGATATATAAGTTGTAAGATACGTCGTCATCCTAAAACGAAGTCATCCTCCTCGAGAGAGGTCATCTTAAAGAGAGGTCATCTTAAAGAGAGGTCATCTTGAAGAGAGGTAATCTTGCAATAGAGGTAAGAGGTCATCCTGTAAGAGGTCATCTTGAGGTCGTCCTGTAAAAGAGGTCATCCTTTAAGAGAGGTCATCTTGTAAGAGAGGTAATCCTTAAGAGAGGTCATCCTTAAGAGAGGTCATCTTTAAGAGAGGTCAACCTTAAGAGAGGTCATCCTGTAGAGAGGCCATCCTGTAAGAGGTCAAGAGGTGAGATCATCTTGTAAGAGGTCATCTTGTAAGAGAAGTCATCCTATAAAAGAGGTCATCCTTTAAGAGAGGTCATCCTTTAAGAAAGGTCATCCTTAAGAGAGGTCATCCTTAAGGGAGGTCAACCTTAAGAGAGGTCATCCTGTAAGAGGTCAAGAGGTGATGTCATCCTGTAAGAGAGGTCATCCTGTAGAGAGGTCATCCTTTAGAGAGGTCATCCTGTAAGAGAGGTCATCCTGTAAGAGAGGTCATCCAGTAAGAGAGCCTGTAAGAGAGGTCATCCAATGAGAAGTCATCTTGTATGAGAGGTCATTCTATGAGGGGTCATCTTGTATTAGAGCTCATCCTGTATGAGAGATCATCCTAAATGAGAGGTCATCCTATAAAAGAGGTCATCCTATGAGAAGTCATCTTGTATGAGAGGTCATCTTGTATGAGAGACAATCTTGTATGAGAGGTCATCCTATATGAGAGGTCATCCTATAAGAGAGGTCATCTTGTAAGAGAGGTCATCCTCTAAGAGAAGTTATCCTAAAAAGAGGTCATCCTGTATGAGAGGTCATCTAGTATGATACGTCATCCTATATGAAAGATCATCTTATAAGAGGTCATCCTTAATGAGAGGTCATCCTGTATGAGAGGTCATCCTGTAAGAGAAGTCATCCTATAAGAGGTCAAGAGGTCATCCTATGAGAGGTCATCTTGTATGAGAGATCATCCTAAATGAGAGGTAATCCTGTAAGAGGTCATCCTGTATGAGAAGTCATGTTGTAGAGAGGTCATCCTGTAAGAGGTCTAGAGGTCATCCTATGAGAGTTCATCTTGTATGAGAGGTCATCCTGTATGAGAGGTAATCCTGTATGAGAAGTCATCCTGTAAGAGAGGTCATCCTGTATGAGAGGTCATCCTGTAAGAGAGGTAATCCTGAAAGGAGGTCATCCTATAAAAAGTCATGCTATGAGAGGTAATCTTGTATAAGAAGTCATACTATGAGAGGTCATTTTGTAAGAGAGGTAATCCTATAAGAGAGGTCATCCTTAAAAGAGATCATCATGTAAGAGGTCAAGAGGTTATCCTGTAAGAGAGGTCATCCTGAAAAGAGGTCATCCTGAAAAGAGGTCATCCTGTAAGAGTGGTCATCCTCTAAGAGAGGTCATCACCCTGAAAAGAGGTCATCATGTAAGAGAGGTCATCCTGAAAAGAGGTCATCCTGTAAGAGGTCAAGAGGTCATCTAATGATAGGTCATCTTGTATTAGAGGTCATCCAATATGAGAGGTCAATGACATGACAACGGGACAGGGCAGGACAGGTTTTGCCTCCCCGGTCCCCGTCCCCGACTTTTTTAACTATCCCCGTCCTTGCCGGGGTTAAAAATTAAGTCCCCATCCCCGTCCTCGTTGGGTTTTGGGTTCTCCGCCCCGTCCCGTCCTCAATCTATATTATTTTTAAAAAGATAATTACATTTATAATAAATATTTATAATTTTATAATTTATAATTATTATTAATTAAATATACATTTTAATTTATTATATTTATATTAAATTATGTATGTAAAAAAATATTTAATAATTATTTATATATATATATATAAAATATTTATAACATTATTATTATTATTATTCAAATATTTGAATACTTATAATATTATTATTATAATACTATATTCAAACATTTAATTATATATATAAGTTAATTTATTTTTAAGTTATTATTTAAAAATATGAAATATATAATTTATAAGAAAATATTTAATAAGTTAATTCTTATTTAATTAGTTCGAAGTACTAAAAGTTTAAATTATAAATTTTTTTATTCTTTTAAAATACAATTATTTTATTAAGATAAAATTTGATATATGATAAATAAAAATAATAAGATATAAAAATATGACATAATAAAACCTAATAAATATAAATTATAAATAAAATAATATTAGTTATTACTAGGATTTGTGTAAAATATTTAAAAAAAGATAAATAATTTTTTTTACTTTGTGTTCATCAAATTGATTGAAAAGATTAGAAAAATAAATAAATTGATAGAAGAAATTAAGGAAATGTAAAAAATCAGAAAAGTAAGAGAGAATAATGTAATAAATTAATTGATATAAAAGATTAAAAAAGACAAAAAAATTAATAGTGGATAGAAAAAAAATTGGTGAAATATTAAAAAAATAACCTTATATGTAATAGGAAAAGAAAAGAAAATACATTTAAAGTATTAATATTTTAAATTTTAAATTTAAATATAAAGTTGGGGCGGGGACATGGTCGAGGTCGTGGTGGAGATTACATTACTCATCCCCGCTCCCGTCCCCAACATTTTTAAAGAGGGGAAAACCCGAACCCGCCCCCGGTCAACACGGGTTTTTCCCTTCAAACTCGGGGCGGTGACGGGTCGGTCCCCACGGATATGGGTTTAATTGTCATTCCTAATCATCCTGTTAGAGTTCATCCTGTATGAGAGGTCATCCAGTATAAGAATCCTGGAAGAGAGGTCATCATGTAAGAGAGGCCATTCTGGAAAAGAGATCATCCTGGAAGAGAGGTCATCCTGTAAGAGAGGTCATCTTGTAAGAGGTCAAGAGGTCATCCCATGAGAGGTCATCTTGTATGAGACGTCATCCTATATTAGAGATCATGTTGTAAGAGGTCATCCTGTGTGAGAGGTCATCCTTTATGAGAGGTCATCTTGTAAGAGAAGTCATCCTGTATGAGAGGTCATTCTCTAAGAGAGGTCATCCTGTAAGAGAGGTCATCCTGTAAGAGAGGTCATCCTGTAAGAGGGGTCATCCTGTAAAAGAGGTCATCACCCTGAAAAGAGGTTATCCTGTAAGAGGTCAAGAAGTCATCCTATGAGAGGTCATCTTGTATGAGACATCATTTTATATGAGAGGTCATCCTGTGTGAGAGGTCATCCTGTAAGAGAAGTCATCCTGTAGAGGTCATCTTGTAAGAGAGGTCATCCTATAAGAGAGGTTATCCTGTATGAGAGGTCATCCTGTAAGAGAGGTCATCTTGATAAGAGGTCATTCTGTAAGAGGTCAAAAGGTCATCCCATCATCCTGTAAGAGAGGTCATCACTATGAAAAAAGGTCATCCTATAAGAGGTCAAGAAGTCTTCCTATGAGAGGTCATCTTGTATGAAACATCATCCTATATGAGATGTCATCCTGTAAGAGGTCATCCTTTATGAGAGGTCATCCTGTAAGATAGGTCATCCTGTAAGAGAGATCATCTTGTAAGAGAGATCATCTTATAAGAGAGGTCATCCTGAAAAGAGGTTATCTTGTAAAAGGTCATCCTATGAGAGGTCATCTTGTATGAGAGGTCATCCTATATTAGAGAGGTCATCCTTTATGAGTGGTCATCCAGTAAGAGAGTTCATCATGTAGGAGATGTCATCTTGTAAAAGAGGTCATCCTGTATGAGAGGTCATCCTGTATGAGAGGTCATCCTATGAGAGGTCATCTTGTATGAGAGGTCATCTTGTACAAGTGGTCATCCTATATGAGAGGTCATCCTCTATGAGAGGTCATCCTGTAAGAGAGGTCATCCTGTATAAGAGGTCATCCTGTACGAGAGGTCATCATGTATGAGAGGTCATCCTGTATGAGATGTCATCCTGTATTAGAGGTCATTCTGTATTAGAGGTGATCCTGTATGAGAGGTCATCCTGTAAGAAAGGTTGCCCTCTTATAGAGAAGTCATCCTCTTGTAGAGAGGTCAACTTGTAAGAGAGGTAAGAGGTCATCCTGTAGAGAGGTCATCCTGTAAGAGAAGTCATCCTGTAAGAAAGATTATCTGTTATGAGAGGTCATCCTGTATGAGAGACCATACTGTAAAAGAGGTCATCCTGTAAGAGAGGTCGTCCTGTAAGAGAGGTCGTCTTTTAAGAGAGGTCGTCCAATGAGAGGTCATCATGTATGAGAAGTTATCTTATGAGAGGTCATCTTGTATAAGAGGTCATTTTGTATGAGGTCATCTTGTATGAGATGTCATCCTATATGAGAGGTCATCCTATAAGAGAGGTCATCCTGTAAGAGAGGTCATCCTCTAAGAGAAGTTATCCTGAAAAGAGGTCATCCTGTAAGAGGTCAAGAGGTCATCCTATGAGAGATCATCTTGTATGAGAGGTCATCCTACATGAGAGGTCATCCTGTATGAAAGGTCATCCTGTGTGAGAGGTCATACTGTAAGATAGGTCATTCTATGAGATGTCATCTTGTATGAGACATCATCCTATATGAGAGGTCATCTTGTAAGAGGTCATCCTGTGTGAGAGGTCACCCTTTATGAGAGATTGTCCTGTAAGAGAATTCGTCTTGTATGAGAGGTCATCCTGTAAGAGAGATCATCCTGTAAGAGAGGTCATCCTGAAAAAAGGTCATCCTGGAAGAGAGGTCATTCTGTAAGAGGGTTCATCCTGTAGGAGAGGTCATCCAATATGAGAGGTCATCGTGTATGAGAGGCCATCCTGTAAGAGAGGTCGTCCTTTTGTAGAGAGGTCAACCTGTAAGAGATGTATGAGGTCATCCTGTAGAGAGGTCATCCTATGAGAGGTCATCTTGTATGATAGGTCATCCTTTAAGAGAGATCATCTAATGAAAAGTCATCTTGTATGAGAGGTCATCTTGTATGAGAGGTCATCCTGTATGAGAGGTCATCCTGTAAGAGAGGTAATCCTGGAAGAGAAGTCATCACCCTGAAAGAGGTCAAGAGGTCATTCTATGAGAGGTCATCTTGTGTGAGACATAATCCTATGTGAGAGGTCATCCTGTGTGAGAGGTCATCCTTTATGAGATGTCATCCTATATTAGATGTCATCTTGTAAGAGAAGTGAGAGAGACCATCCTATAAGAGAAGTCATCCTGTAAGAGAGGTCATCCTGTAAATGATCAAGAGGTCATCCTATGAGAGGTCATTCTATATGAAAGGTCATTCTATATGAGAGGTCATCCTGTATGAGAGGTCATCCTGTAAGAGAGGTTGCTCTCTTATAGAGACGTCGTCCTCTTGTAGAGAGGTCAACTTGTAAGAGAGGTAAGAGGTCATCTTGTAGAGAGGTCATCCTATAAGAGAAGTCATCCTGTAAGAGAGATCATCTTTTATGAGAGGTCATCATGTAAGAGAGGTCATCCTGTAAGAGAGGTCATCCTGTAAGAGAGGTCGTCTTATAAGAGAGGTCGTCCAATGAGAGGTCATTTTCTATGAGAGGTCATCTTATGAGAGGTCATCTATTATAAGAGGTCATTTTGTAAGAGGTCATCTTGTATGAGATGTCATCCTATATGAGAGATCATCCTATAAGAGAGGTAGTTCTGTAAGAGAGGTCATCCTCTAAGAGAGGTCATCCTGAAAAGAGGTCATCCTGTAAGGTTAAGAGGTCATCCTATGAGAGGTCATCCTGTATGAGAGGTCATCCTGTGTGAGAGGTCATACTGTAAAAGAGGTAACCCTATGAGATGTCATCTTGTATGAGATATCATCCTATATGAGAGGTCATCTTGTAAGAAATCATCCTGTGTTAGAGGTCACCATTTATGAGAGGTCGTCCTATAAGAGAAGTCATCTTGTATGAGAGATCATCTTATATGAGAGATCATCCTAGAAGAGATGTCATTTTGTAAGAGGGTTCATCCTATAGGAGAGGTCATCCACAATGAGAGGCCATCGTGAATGAGATGCCACCCTGTAAGAGAGGTCGTCCTGTAAGAGAGGTCGTTCTCTTGTAGAGAGGTTAACCTGTAAGAGAGGTAAGAGGTCATCTTGTATGAGAGGTCATCCTATGAGAGGTCATCCTGTAAGAGAGGTCATCTAATGAAAAGTCATCTTGTATGAGAGATCATCCTATAAGAGGTCATCTTGTATGAGAGGTCATCCTATATGAGAGGTCATCGTGTAAGAAGTAATCCTGTATGAGAGGTCATCCTAGAAGAGAGGTCATCCTCGAAGAGAGGTCATCCTGTAAGAGAGCTTATCACCCTGAAAGAGGTCAAGAGGTCATTCTATGAGAAGTCATCTTGTATGAGAGGTCATCCTATGAGAGGTTATCTTATATGAGAGGTCATCCTATAAGAGGTCATCTTGTATGAGAGGTCATCCTATATGAAAGGTCGTCCTGTAGGAGGTCATCCTGTAAGAGAGGTTATCACCGTGAAAGAGGTCAAGAGGTCATTCTATGAGAGGTCATTTTGTGTGAGACATCATCTTATGTGAGAGGTCATCCTGTGTGAGAGGTCATCATTTATGAGATGTCATCCTGTATGAGAGGTCATATTGTAAGAGAAGTCATCCTGTAAGATAGATCATCCTGTAAGAGAAGTCATCCTGTAAGACAGGTCATCCTGAAAAGAGGTCATCCTGAAAAGATGTCATCCCATAAATAGTCAAGAGGTCATCCTATGAGAGGTTATCTTGTATGAGAGGTCATCCATTAAGAGGTCATCCTGTATGAGGGAGGTCATCCTTTAGAGTGGTGATCTTGTAGAGAGGTCATCCTATATAGAGGTCATCCTAAAAAGAGATCATCTTAAAAAGAGGTCATCCTGTAAGAGGTCTACATATCATCCTATGAGAGGTCATCTTGTATGAGAGGTCATCCTATATGGGAGGTCATCCCGTAAGAGGTCATCCTTTGTGAGAGGTCATCCTTTGTGAGAGGTCATCCTGTATGGGAGGTCATCCAGTAAGAGAAGTTATCCTCTATAGAGGTCATCCTCATGTTGAGAGGTCGTCCTCTTGTAGAGAGGTCAACCTGTAACAGAGGTAAGAGGTCATCCTCTAGAGAGGTCATCCTATAAGAGAAGTCATCCTCTAGGAGAGATCATCCTTTATGAGAGGTCATCCTGTATGAGAGGTCATCCTGTATGAGAGACCATCATGTAAGAGATGTCGTATTGTAAGAGAGGTCGTCTTATAAGAGAGGTCGTCTTAAGAGAGGTCATCTTGTATGAGAGATCATCTTATGAGAGGTCATCTTGTATGAGATGTCATTTTGTAAGAGGTCATCATGTGTGAGAGGTAATCCTATATGAGAGGTCATCCTGTAAGAGATGTCATCCTGTAAGAGGTCAAGAAGTCATCCTATGAGAGCTCATCCTGTAAGAAAGATCATTCTATATGTGAGGTCATCCTTTTTGAGAGGTCATACTATGAGAAGTCATCTTGTATGAGAGGTCATCCTATGAGAGGTCATCTTGTATGAGAGGTCATCATATATGAGAGGTCATCCTATATGAGAGGTTATCTTGTAAGAGGTCATCTTGTATGAGAGGTCATCTTGTATAAGAGGTCATCCTGTAAGAGAGGTCATCTTGTAAGAAAAATCGTCCTGTATGAGAGGTCATCACCTTGAAAAGAGGTCATCATGTAAGAGTTCAAGAGGTCATCGTATGAGAGGTCATCTAGTATGAGACGTCATCCTATATGAGAGGTCATCCTTAATTAGAGGTCATCCTGTATGAGAGGTCATCCTGTAAGAGAAGTCATCCTGGAAGAGAGGTCACCTTGTAAGAAGTCAAGAGGTCATCCTGTAAGAGGTCAAGAAGTCATCCTATGAGAGATCATCTTGTATGAGAGGTCATCCTATATGAGAGGTCATCCTGTATGAGAGGTCATGCTGTAGAGATGTCATCTTATAGAGAGGTCATCCTGTAGAGATGTCATCCTGTAAAAGAGGTCATCCTGAAAAGAGGTCATCCTGTAAGAGGTCTTGAGGTCATCCTATGAGAGTTCATCTTGTATGAGAGGTCATCCTTTATAAGAGGTCATCCTATATGAGAAGTAATCTTGTATGAGAAGTCATCCTGTAAGAAAGGTTATCTTGTAAGAGAGGTCATCCTGAAAGGAGGTCATCCTATAAGAGGTCATCCTATGAGAGGTAATCTTGTATAAAAGGTGATCCTATGAGAGGTCATTTTGTAAGAGAGGTAATCTTGTAAGAGAGACCATCCTGAAAAGAGATCATCCTGGGAGAGGTCATCCTGTAAGAGGTCATCCTGTATGAAATGTTATCCTATAAGAGAGGTCATCCTGAAAGAGTAGTTATCCTGTAAAGAGGTCATCATGTAGGAAGGGTCATCCTGTAAGAGGTCATCCTGTATGAGAGGTCATCCTGTAAGAGATGTCATCTTATGAGAAATCAACTTGTATGAGAGGTCATCTTGTATGAGAGGTCATCCTGTATGAGAGGTCATCCTGTAAGAGAGGTGATCCTGTAAGAGAGGTCATCTTATGAGAGGTCATCTTGTATGAGAGATCATCCTATAAGAGGTCGTCTTGTATGAGAGGTCATCCTGTATGAGAGGTAATCCTGTAAGAGAGGTTATCACCCTGAAAGAAGTCAAGAGGTCATTCTATGAGAGGTCATCTTGTGTGAGACATCATCCTATGCGAGAGGTCATTTTGTGTGAGAGGTCATCCTTTATGAGATGTCATCCTGTATGAGAGGTCACCTGGTAAGAGAAGTCATCCTGTAAGAGAAGTCATCCTGTAAGAGAGATCATCCTGAAAAGAGGTCATCCTGTAAATGGTCAAGAGGTCATCCTATGAGAGGTCATCTTGTATGAAGGGTCATCTATATGAGAGGTCATCCTATATGAGAGGTCATCCTGTAAGAGATCATCATGTATGAGAGGTCATCCTGTACAAAGGTCATCCTTTAGAGTGGTGATCTTGTAGAGAGGTCATCCTAAAAAGAGGTCATCCTGTAAGAGGTTTATAGATCATCCTATGAGAGGTCATCCTATATGGGAGGTCATCCTGAATGAGAGGTCATGCTGTAGAGAGGTTATGCTATAGAGAGGTCATGCTGTAAAGATGTCATCCTGTAAAGAGGTCATCCTGTAAAAGAGGTCATCTTGAAAAGATGTCATCCTGTAAAAGGTATAGAGGTCATCCTATGAGAGTTCATCTTGTATGAGAGGTCATCCTATATGAGAGGTAATCCTGTATGAGAGGTAATTCTGTATGAGAAGTCATCCTGTAGGAGAGGTCAAACTTTAAGAGAGGTCATCCTGTAAGAGAGGTCATCCTGTAAGAAAGGTCATCTTGTAAGAGAGGTCATCCTATGAGATGTCATTTTGTATGAGATGTCACCCTATGAGAGGTCATCGTATGAGAGGTCATCTTATATGAGAGGTCATCCTATAAGAGAGGTCATCCTGAAAGAGAGGTCATCATGAAAAATAGGTCATCTGTAAAGAGGTCATCATGTAGGAGAGGTCATCTAATAAGAGGTCAAGAGGTCATCCTGTAAGAGAGGTCATCCTATGAGAAGTCATCCTGTATGAGAGGTCATCCTATGATAGGTCATCTTGTATAAGAGGTCATCCTATATGAGAGGTCATCCTGTTTGAGAGGTCATCCTGTATGAGAGGTCATTCTGAAAAGAGGTAATCCTATAAGAGATGAAGAGGTCATCCTGTATGAAAGGTCATCCTATAAGAGAGATCATCTTGTAAGAGAGGTCATACTGTAAGAGGTCATCTTGTATGAGAGGTCGTCGTATATGAGAGGTCATCCTGTAGGAGAGGTCATCCTGTATGAGAGGTCATCCTGTAAGAGAGGTTATCATCCTGAAAGAGGTCAAGAGGCCATTCTATGAGATGTCATCTTGTGTGAGACATCATCCTATGTGGGAGGTCATCCTTTATGAGATGTCATCCTGTACGAGAGGTTATCTGTTAAGAGAAATCATCCTGTAAGAGATACCATCCTGTAAGAGAAGTCATCCTGTAAGAGAGGTCATCCTAAAAAGAGGTCATCCTGTAAATGGTCAAGATGTCATCCTATTAGAGGTCATCTTGTATGAGAGGTCATCCTATATGAGAGGTCATCCTGTAATAGGTCATCCTATATGATAGGTCACCCTGTAGAGTGGTGATCTTGTATAGAGGTCTTCCTATGTAGAGGTCATCCTAAAAAAAGGTTATCCTGTAAGAGGTCTATAGATCATCCTATGAGAGGTCATCCTATATGGAAGGTCATCCCGTAAAAGGTTATCCTTTGTGAGAGGTCATTATTTATGAGAGGTCATCCTCTATGCGAGGTCATCCTGTACGAGAGGTCATCCTCTTCTTGAGAGGTCATCCTCTTGTTGAGAGGTCGTCCTCTTGTAGAGAGGTCAACTTGTAAGAGAGGTAAGAGTTCATCCTCTAGAGAGGTCATCCTATAAGAGGTAATCTTGTATAATAGGTCATCCTATGAGAGGTCATTTTGTAAAAGAAGTAATCCTGTAAGAGAGGTCATCCTGAAAAGAGATCATCCTGTTAGAGGTTATCCTGTAAGAGAGGTCATCCTATGAGAAATCATCTTGTATGAGAGGTCATCCTGTATGAGAGGTCATCCTGTAAGAGAGGTCATCCTGAAAGAGAGGTCATCATGTAGGACATGTCATCTTGTAAGAGGTCAAGAGGTCATCTTGTATGAGAGGTCATCCTGTAAGATAGGTCATCCTGTATGAGAGGTCATCCTGTAAGAGAGGTCATCTTATTAGAAGTCATCTTGTGTGAGAGGTCATCCTATGAGAGGTCATCTTGTATGAGAGGTCATCCTATATGAGAGATTATCTTGTATGAGAGGTCATCCTGTATGAGAGGTCGTCCTCTTATAGAGAGGTCGTCCTCCTATAGAGAGTTCGTCCTCTTGTAGAGAGGTCAATATGTAAGAGAGGTAAGAGGTCATCCTTGAAGAGATCATCCTATATGAGAGGTCATCCTGGAAGAGAGGTCATCCTAAAAGAGAGGTCAACCTATAAGAGAGGTAAGAGGTCATCCTGTAGAGAGGTCATCCTATGATAGGTCATCTTGTATGAGAGGTCATCCTGTAAGAGAGATCGTCTTTTAAGAGAGATCATCCTGTAATAGAGGTTATCCTATAAGAGAGGTCATCCAATGAGAAGTCATCTTGTATGAGAGGTCATCCTATGAGAGGTCTACAGGTCATCCTATGAGAGGTCATCTTGTATGAGAGGTCATCCTATATAGGAGGTCATCCTGTGTGAGAGGTCATCCTTTGTGAGAGGTCATCCTGTATGCGAGGTCATTCTGTAAGAGAGGTCATTTTCCATTAGAGGTCGACCTCTTGTAGAGAGGTCAACCTATAAGAAAGGTAAGAGGTCATCCTCTAGAGAGGTCATCCTGTAAGAGAAGTCATCCTGTAGGAGAGATCATCCTTTATGAGAGGTCATCTTGTATGAGAGGTCATCCTGTAATAGAGGTCGCCCTGTAAGAGAGGTCATCTTATAAGAGAAGTCGTCCTATGAGAGGTCATCTTGTATGAGAGGTCATTCTGTAAGTGGTCATCCTGTATGAGAGGTCATCTTATATGAGAGATCATCCTGTAAGAGAGGTTATCTTGAAAGGAGGTCATTCTGTAAGAGGTCAAGAGGTCATCCTATGAGAGGTCATCCTGTATGAGAGCTCACCCTATATGAGAGGTCATCCTCTATGTGAGGTCATCCTGTGTGAGAGGTCATCCTGTAAGAGAGGTCATCCTATGAGAAGTCATCTTTTATGAGACGTCATCCTATATTAGACGTCATTCTATATGAGAGGTCATCCTGTAAGAGGTCATCCTATGTGAGAAGTCATCCTTTATGAGAGATCGTCCTGTAAGAGAAGTCATCTTCTAAGAGAGGTCATCCTGTAAGAGAGGTCATCCTGAATGAGAGGTCATCGTGTAAGAGAGGTCATTTTGTAAGAAGGGTCATCCTGTAAGAGAGGCCACCTTGTAAGAGGTCAAAAGGTCATCCTGTAAGAGGTCATCCTATGAGAGGTCATCTTGTATGAGTGATCATCCTATATGAGAGGTCATCCTGTATGAGAGGTCATGCTATAGAGAGGTCATCCTGTAAAAGGGGTCATCCTGAAAAGATGTCATCCTGTAAGAGGTCTAGAGGTCATCCAATGAGAGTTCATCTTTTATGAGAGGTCATCCTATATGAGAGGTAATCATGTATGAGAAGTTATCCTGTAAGAGAGGTCATCCTGTAAGAAAGGTCATCCTGTAAGAGAGGTCATCCTATAAGAAAGGTCATCTTGTAAGAGAGGTCATCATATAAGAGGTAATCTTGTATAAGAGGTCATCCTATGAGAAGTCATTTTATAAGAGAATTACTCCTGTAAAAGAGTTCATCCTAAAAAGAGATCATCCTGTAAGAGGTCATCCTGTATGAGAGGTCATCCTATAAGAGAGGTCATCCTATAAGAAAGGGCATCCTGAAAGAGAGGTCATCATGTAGGACAGGTCATCTTATAAGAGGTCAAAAGGTCATCTTGTATGAGAGGAAATCCTGTAAGAGAGGTCATCCTATTAGAAGTCATCTTGTGTGAGAGGTCATCCTATGAGAGGTCATCTTGTATGAGAGGTCGTCCTCTTATAGAGAGGTCGTCCTCCTATAGAGATGTCGTCCTCTTGTAGAGAGGTCAACCTGTAAGAGAGGTAAGAGGTCATCCTTGAAAAGATCATCGTGTATGAGAGGTCATCCTGGAATAGAGGTTATCCTAGAAGAGATGTCAACCTGTAAGAGAGGTAAGAGGTCATCCTGTAGAAGGTCATCTTATGATAGGTCATCTTGTATGAGAGGTCATCCTGTATGAGAGGTCGTCCTGTAAGAGAGGTCGTCCTGTAATTGAGGTCATCTTGTAAGAGAGGTCATCCAATGAGAAGTCATCTTATATGATAGGTCATCCTATGAGAGGTCTACAGGTCACCCTATGAGAGGTCATATTGTTATGAGAGGTCATCCTATATAGGAGGTCATCCTGTGTGAGAGATCATCCTTTGTGAGAGGGCATCATGTATGTGAGGTCATCCTGTAAGAGAGGTCATCCTCCATTAGAGGTCGACTTCTTGTAGAGAGGTCAACCCATAAGAGAGGTAAGAGGTCATCCTCTAGAGAGGTCATCCTGTAAGAGAAGTCATCCTGTATGAGAGGTCATCCTGTAAGAGAGGTCGTCTTGTAAGAGAGGTCGTCTTGTAAGAGAGGTCATCTTATAAGAGAGGTCGTCCTATAAGAGGTCATCTTGTATGAGATATCATCTTATGAGAGGTCATTCTGTAAGTGGTCATCCTGTATGAGAGGTCATCTTATATGAGAGGTCATCCTGTAAGAGAGATTATCTTAAAAGGAGGTCATTATGTAAGAGGTTAAGAGGTCATCCTATAAGAGGTCATCCTGTATGAGAGTTCACCCTATATGAGAGGTCATCTTATATGTGAGGTCATCTTGTGTGAGAGGTCATCTTGTAAGAGAGGTCATCTTATGAGAAGTCATCTTGTATGAGACGTCATCCTATATGAGACGTCATTTTATATGAGAGGTCATCCTGTAAGAGGTCATCCTATGTGAGAAGTCATCCTTTATGAGAGGTCGTCCTATAAGAAAAGTTATCCTGTCAGAGAAGTCATCCTGTAAGAGAGGTCATCCTAGAAGAGAGGTCATCCTGTAAGAGAGGTCATTCTGTAAGAAGGGTCATCCTGTAAGAGAGGTCGTCCTCTTGTAGAGAGGTCAACCTTTAAGAGAGGTAAGAGGTTATCTTGTAGAGATGTCATCCTATGAGAGGTCATTCTTTATGAGAGGTCATTCTTTATGAGAGGTCATTTGTAAGAGAGGTCATCCAGTAAGAGATGTAATCCTGTAAAAGAGGTCATCAAATGAGAGGTCATCCTATGAGAGGACATTTTGTATGAGAGATCATTCTATGAGAGGTCATCGTATGAGAGGTCATCTTCTATGAGATGTCATCTTATGAGAGGTCATTCTGTAACATCCTGTATGAGAGGTCATCCTATGAGAGGTCATCCTATGAGATGTCATCTTGTACGAGAGGTAATTCTATGAGAGGTCATCTTGTATGAGATGTCATCTTGTAAGAGAGGTCATCTTATGAGAAGTCATCCTGTATGAGAGGTCATCCTATGAGAGGTCATCTTGTATGAGAGGTCATTCTGTAAAAGGTCATCCTGGAAGAGAGGTCATCCTGAGAGGTCATCTCCTTGAAAAGAGGTCATATTGTAAGAGGTCAAGATGTCATCATATGAGAGGTCATCCTATGAGAGGTCATCTAGTAAGAGATGTCATCCTAGATGAGAGGTCATCCTACAAAAGGTCATCCTGTGTGAGAGGTCATCTTTTATGAGATGTCATCCTGTATGAGAGGTCATCCTGTATGAGAGGTCGTCCTGTAAGAAAAGTCATCCTGGAAGAGAGGTCATCCTATAAGAGGTCAACAGGTCATACTGTAAGAGGTCAAGAGGTCATCCTATGAGAGGTCATCTTGTATGAGAGGTCATCATATATGAGAGGTCATCCTTTAGAGAGGTCATCCTGTAGGAAGGTCATCCAGAAAATAGGTCATCCTGTAAGAGGTCTAGAGGTCATCCTATGAGAGTTCATCTTGTATGAGAGGTCATCTTATATGATAGGTCATCCTATATGAGAGGTCATCCTGTAAGAGAGGTCATCCTGTAAGAGAGATCATCCTGTAAGAGGTCAAGAGTTCATCCTATGAGAGGTAATCTTGTATGAGAGGTCATCCTATGAGAGGTCATTCTGAAAAGAGGTCATCCTATATGAAAGGTCATCCTGTAAGAGAGGTCATCTTGTAAGAGAGGTCCTGTAAGAGCTCAAGAGGTCATCTTGTAAGATGTCATACTATATCAGAGGTCATACTGTAAGAGAGGTCATCATGTAAAAGAGTTCATCACCCTGAAAAGAGGTCATCCTGTAAGAGGTCAAGAGGTCATCCTATGAGAGGTCATCTTATATGAGACGTCATCCTATATGTAAGGTCATCCTGTAAGAGGTCATCCTGTGTGAGAGGTCATCCTTTATGAGAGGTCATCCTGTATGAGCGGTCATACTGTAAGAGAAGTTATCTTGTAAGAGAGGTCATCCTGTAAGAGAGGTCATCCTGTAAGTCGGGTCATCCTGTAAGAGGTCAAAAGGTCATCCTATGAGAACTCATCTTGTATGAGAGGTCATTCTATGAGAACTCATCTTATATGAGATGTTATCCTATATGAGAGGTCATCCTATATGAGAGATCATCATGTAAGAGAGGTCATCATGTAAGAGAGGTTATCCTGTAAAAGAGGTCATTACCCTGAAAAGAGGTCATCCTGTAAGTGGTCATCCTGTAGAGAAGTCATCATTTATGAGAGGTCATCCTGTAGAGAGGTCATCTTGTAGAGAGGTCATCTTGTAGGGAAGTCATCCTGAAAATAGGTCATCCTGTAAGAGGTCTAGAGGTCATCCTATGAAAGGTCATCCTATGAGAGGTCATCCTATATGAGAGTTCATCCTGTATGAGAGTTCATCCTGTATGAGAGTTCATCCTATAAGAGAGGTCATCGTGTAAGAAAGGTCATCCTGTAAGAGGTCAAGAGGTCATCCTATGAGAGGTAATCTTGTATGAGAGGTCATCCTGAAAAGAGGTCATCCTATAAGAGGTCAAGAGATCATCCTGTAAGAGGTCATCCTGTATGAAAGGTCATCCTGTAAGAGAGGTCATCCTGAAAAGAGGTCAGTGACGGATCTTGACCATTGATCTTAGGGGGCCAAATAATATATTATTAATAAATAATAAATAAATATAAAATAATATATTATTAATAAATAATAAATAAATATAAAAGGAAGAAAGAAGATGAAAGGGTAAAAGGAGGTCAAATAATATATTATTAATAAATAATAAATAAATATAAAATAATATATTATTAATAAATAATAAATAAATATAAAAGGAAGAAAGAAGATGAAAGGGTAAAATGATAAAATTGTAGATATATATTTAAATATATTAAATGATCATTAAGTTTGAGGGGGACAAAATCATAAATTACATGGGAGTTACAAAATTGAGGAGGGGCTGAGAGGATAGAATTGTAAATATACAAGTAAATATATTAAATGTTTATTAAGTTTGGGGGGGCCAAAATCATAAATTACATGGGAGTTATAAAATTTTGGGGGGGCCACGGCCCCCCTCAGCTCCCAAGAAGATCCGCCACTGAAAGAGGTCATCCTGTAAGAGGTCAAGAGGTCATCTTGTATGAGAGGTCATACTATAAGAGAGGTCATCCGGTAAAAGAGGTCATCACCCTGAAAAGAGGTCATCCTGTAAGAGGCATCCTATGTGAGGTCATCTTGTACGAGACGTCATCCTATATGTGAGGTCATCCTGTAAAAGGTCATCCTGTGTGAGAGGTCATCCTTTATGAGAGGTCATCCTGTATGAGCAGTCATACTGTAAGAGAAGTTATCCTGTAAGAGAGGTCATCCTGTAAGAGAGGTCATCCTATAAGTTGGGTCATCCTGAACAGAGGTCATTTTGTAAGAGGTCAAGAGGTCATCCTAAGAGAACTCATCTTGTATGAGAGATCATCCTATATGAGAGGTCATCCCATATGAGAGGTCATCTTATATGAGAGGTCATCCTGTTAGAAGTCATCTTGTATGAGAGGTCATCATGGAAGAGAGGTCATCCTGTAAGAGAGGTCATCATGTAAAAGAGGTCATCACCCTAAAAAGAGGTCATCCTGTAAGAGGTTATCTTGTAAGAGGTCATCCTGTAGAGAAGTCATCTTGAAAAGAAGTCATCTTAGAAAGAGGTCATCCTCTAAGAGAGGTCATCCTATAAGAGAGGTCGTCCTCCTGTAGAGAGATCGTCCTCCTATAGAGAGTCTGTCTTCTTGTAAAGAGGTCATCATCCTTTAAGGTAGGTCATCATCCTTTATGATAGGTCGTAATCCTGAAGAGAGGTCATCCTTAAGAGAGATCATCCTGAAGAGAGAGGTCATTCTGAAGAGAGGTAATCTTCAAGAGAGGTCATCCTGAATAAAGGTCATCCTGTAAGAGATGTATTAGGTCATCTTGTAAGAGAGGTAAGAGGTCAATAGGTGATCCAATAGAAAGGTCATCCTGTAAAAGGTCAAGAGGTCATCCTCCTGTAGAGATGTCATCCTCAGTGGCTTCTTGGGAGCTAAAGGGGGTCGTGGCCCCTCCAAAGTTTTATAACTCCCATGTAATTTATGATTTTGACCCCCCAAACTTAATGATCATTTAATATATTTACTTGTATATTTATGATTTTATCCTCTCATCACTCTTAACTCTCATATAATTTATGATCTTGTCCCCTCAAACTTAATGATCATTTATTATATTTATTTATACATTTACAATTTTATCCTCTTACTCTTTTATCTTCTTTCACCCTTTTATATTTATTCATTATTTATTAATAATATATTATTTGACCCCCCAAAATCAATGGTCAAAATCTGCCACTGGTCATCCTGTAAGAGAGGTAAAAGGTTATCCTGTAAGAGGTCAAGAGGTCATCCTAGAAGAGAGGTAAGAGGTCATCATGGAAGAGAGGTAAGAGGTCATCCTGTAAGAGAGGTAGGAGGTCATCCTGTAAGAGAGGTCATCCTATAGAGAGGTCATCCTGTAAAGAGGTCGTCATCCTGTAAGATACAGAGAGGTCATCCTAAAGAGAGGTCATCCTGTAACAGTGGTAAGAGGTCATCCTGTAAGAGAGGTAGATAGGTCATCCTATAAGAGAGGTCATCCTCCTGTAGAGAGATCGTCATCCTGTAAGAGAGGACATCCTGTAGAGAGGTCATCCTGAAAAGAGTTCATCCTGTAAGAGATGTCGTCCTCTTGTAGAGAGGTCATCCTGTATTCAAGATTGCAATTGAGATATTTTATCCCAAGATAATAAAGATAGGTTATCTATATTCAAGATTGCAATTGAGATTCTTTACCCAAGAAGATAGGAAAGATAGGTCATCCTGTATTCAAGATTGCAATTGAAATCCTTTACTCCAAGAAGATAGGAAAGATAAGTCATGTTGTATTCAAGATTGCAATTGAGATTCTTTACTCCAAGATAGGAAAGATATGTCATCATGTATTTAAGATTACAATTAAGATATAGAAAAGATAAGGATAGGTCATCCTTTATTCAAGATTGCGATTGAGATCCTTTACCCCAATATAGGAAAAATAGGTCATCCTATATTTAAGATAGCAATTGAGATATAGGAAAGATAAGGATAAGTCATCTGTATTCAATATTGCAATTGAGATTCTTTACCCCAAGATAATGATAGGTCATTATGATTGAGTTCCTTTACCTAAGTATAAATTATATTTTTTTTTCACAAAATTGTGCAATATGAATTATAAATTATTTGTATTTTCCATATAAAATTGTACAAAATTAAGATCCTTTACTAATTGTATGCAGTTTTGTCAAATATTTTAAAAAATTGTGATCTTATTTAGTATAATTGTACGTTCACAATAGTAAATAAGATTACAGCAATAAAGGAGAGTGGAATATAAACACACAATAATAAATATGATTGCATTAAAGGGGAGTGGAATTATAAACCGTGTGCATGGGAAAAAAAATTAAAGAAGTAAAATTTAAATTAAGGAGGTAAAATAAACTTGGTGAAAAATGGTGTAAATATGATTGCTCGAAGTAGTAAATTGTGTAAATACGTTGATACTAGTAGTAAATGGTATAAATATGATTGCTCATAGTAGTAAACTGTGTAACTATGATTGCAATAAGGCGGAGTGGAATTATAAATCGTGTGCACAAGAAAAAAAATTTAAATTAAGGAGATAAAAATTAAATTAAGGAGGTAAAATAAACTGGTGAAATTAGGTTATGTATTTAAAATTGAAAATAAATGAATGGTAGAACAAATCCGAATTGTTTTAGTTGTTAATTTACGAAAAATTTGTAATAAATAGCATGATAGTTAATCATGCTATAGACTAATCATATGCAGTATAAAGATTCACCGCAAGGAGAACAATACAATATTGCGTGTACTTGATTTTGTTAGAAGAATATTTAGATTTTTTTTTATTTTCAAACATATTTCAAATAAAGTTATATTATAAAATATTAGTATAAATAAAACTATTCTTTTAATTATTAATTTTAACAAATTATATTGTGAAATACAAAAAATAATATCAAATTTTAAATTATAACTTTAATTCTTAAAAATAGATAAAAATATAATTTTAAATAATTTTATTTTAATAAATTAAATTAAAAAATCAAATAAAATACTTGTAACTCCTGATATTTATTTAAAATATTTGTTTTATATACATAACCAATTTTATTTGGACATAATTTTATTTTTTTCATCTTTATTTAGATAACTACTACTATTATTTACTTAGATAGTTCATAGTACTACTGCTACTATTTATTTAGACAATTACTACTACTACTTGGATTACTACTACTATACAGATAACAACTACTACTATATAGCTGTGGTGATTACTACTAATATATAGATAACAACTACTACTATGTAGCTGTGGTAATGTAACAGCTATTGTTGAGATGGAATATCCAAAACAAAAAATCCCAAGCCGAGACTTTCTTATCGTTGAAAGTCTCACATCGCCTACCTCATACTATTTGGTATGGTTTAAATACATGTTAGGCTACTCCACATATTATCAATTGGTTTTATGTTGGAACCTTAACATGGTATCAGAGTCAAAGCCTAACATCTTTCCGGTTATTGTCATGGGCCAAAAAGTTGTCCTTTAGTTGGGTCAAAAGTACCCTTTGCCTGGTCCGTCAGGCTTCGTTGGAGGGGGTGTGTTGAAAGTCTCACATCGCCTACCTCATACCATTTGGTATGGTTTAATTACATGTTAGGCTATTCCACATATTGCCAATTAGTTTTATGTTAGAACCTTAACACTTATTCTCAAACTCTACAACATGTCAGAAAATAGTATTTTATCTAGAAACTTTTATTGGTTGCATCTTTCTAGTGGAGATTATAAACTACTAGACCCTAAAGCCGTATAGGGAGAAGAAAATACCCCTCAGGATAACATCGGAGGTTTTTATTCAAAGATCTATCTACAATCTTCAAATGCATGTGCAAAACACATCTAAAAAACCAGAGTCACTGTAAACGGTAGATAGTGTGATTGGCAGCAAAGAGCAAGGAAGTTGGTTGGTTTAGGAGGATACACAAATGCTTTGCAGGGAAAAGTGCTGGTGTGAAGGTTTCTGAAATTAATGGCCAAGATATAGGTGTTGCATTCTTTCTTCATTTTTCTGTTCATGCTTCGAACAAGGACCACAAGGAGGGGGAAGACACAAGAATTCTCCCCGTTCATTACTCAGATAACTATTTTTCACTTGTGCCAGGAGAGACCATGACTATTAAAATTTCTTTTGAGGTCCCTCCAGGTGTCTCTCCTCTAGTTACTTTGCATGGCTGGAATTTCGACCAACAAGCCATCCATGAAGGTCTTTAGTGATGTTACAGGCAACCTTGTGAATGTACAGAGTAGGGATAAAACACTTGGAATGGTCTGGCACAAATTGAAATGCATCATAACGTGTAAATGTGAATTATTATATGATAATGAAGAGAACATGACAGATCATCATCAATCATCATATAGACTTCATCATCCGGCTAATCGAAGAGAATATGCCCGCAGCTTTGTCTAGAAAACCTTGCCCTTGCTCTGGCTTCTGTTCTTCATCAGCAAATAGAATCTGCATCATGATTAAAGCTTATCCAAGAGATTATTATATTGTCATATTGATTTTCACTATGGATAATTCTTCAAACAAATTTCCCGTCTTTCTTTTCTATAACAATATTTTTCATTCTATTCAATTTCTTTTTTTTCCAAAAAATTCACCAACAAGAACAATAGGTATTTTAACCATGTCCACAGAAAATGGTTAGATAAGATAATTTAGAATTGAAGCTGTTAACCTCAATGTCATCAGCATCACGACTCTCGAATTCCTTGGGCAAGCAAATATCTATTTGGCCTATCCTCGTCATCACCGAACACTTTCCACGGTCTGAGTAGATCAACAGAACAGAAAGCAAACAAAAATCATAAATAATTTCATCTCTGCAATTAACATTTCCAGAAGCCAATTAATAGTGTATGATTGATTTCATCAATTTTATCTCCATGGAAACAGGATACAAAAATACTGAATCATGTTCAGATTACATATCTAGAAATCATGTGAAACAGAAGTCCACTTCCAAACCCAAAAGTTATGTTTTTTATGATATTTATATACTAATAATCTAATAGGATGGAATGAAAGACCTTACCCTGGATAACACCTGAAGATTGCTCCAAATGGCATAGGTCGCATGAAATAGACAGTTATAAAAGTGCTGTACAATAGAATATCAGAATTTAATAGTCTAGTGTGATCAGAATAAACCAATTTTACAAAACAAACTGCATTAAGAATGAAAAGAACTCAAGTAACTTAATACAAATAATAGCAGAAAAAACCAAGTACACAAAAGTCCAACCCCAGTTTATGTAAATACCACTTACAGTCAGTTGAAGCTTAAGTAGTAAACTATGCAATGGCTCAGCACTCGTACCTTAAAAAGAAGCGCCTTAATTTCCGGACATTAAACCCAACTCCGACGTCCTCGCTGAGTGGTCTAGGCTGCCATTTTATGTTTAGTTTGAAAGAAAACTGTAAATAATACAAACGTACCTGGCAATTTCTAAACTAAATGCAAGGTGCTGAATGGCAGCGATGTGGCTGAAAGTCAGAATCAAATATATGATAGTACACCTCACAGACTATTTTGCTGGTAGAATATAACATAAAGCATTAATCTAAGTGCTGAAAGTTACCTTGCAAATCTAAATATAGCATCTTTCCACCTATACTTCAGAAGGGCTGCCGCACCAGCATCTGGAAATATGGCTTTAACCCTCTAACAATCAAATTCATGAAACTTAGCAAATAGTTTACAACTTCCAAAATAAATAATACTCATGCCATTAAACCTTAGCGAATTCAGGAAATTCAGTATTCATAACATGAGCATCTAGTTTGCGGATACTTATATCATGTGGAGAAAAGTCGGTAATCATTGCACAACCATCCCTTTTGTGCATCCTAGTGTCAAATAAATTTAGGAGGTTGTTTGTATTTTCATTTAAAATATGCAAATTCTATATTTCACCTCCGGATAACCAAGACCTAAACAATTAATAATACCTAATATAGTGACATACTCGCTGTCTCCTGAGTTATAAAAGGAAACCATGCACTTGGTTTGAGTGGAAATAGGACGCTATAGATGGCTAAATATTTGTGTGCATCCAATAGTAGAGACACCATAAGAGTCTCTAATGTACATTCCACGCAGAAGAAACCAATTCTATTTAAATGAAATGAACATAACAACACATGCAATCACATTATGAAGAATATATGTAAATGTCTAAGATATGTCTTAAACTTTGAGTTTGAACTCAACTCAATCCTATAAAACGATTTTTTTTAAATGTTTGCAACTACTTGAATACTTTGTTTTAGCCATATCACAATGCAAATAAGGTGACTGAGGGAATAGGAATTATTTCAAATTCAAATATTCCTTCAAAAATTTCATATGCTATAAGTTTATAACCACCATAATACATCCCACTAACCTTGGATTTTGTTTTTTCAATGAGTGTATCCAAAAAAATCCTTGACAATTCCCAGAGTTCAACCTGCGCACTTTCGTCATCTAAAAATTGCAGTTGGGGGATTAAAAGTTCAACCTGTAAGACACTGAAAATATTTTAGAGCAAGATGCATTTGACGCCAAGCAACTGAAAGAGAACAATTATTAACGTTGATTAACAAACCAATCCCTCTCATAGCAACATTTTCAAGTTGCCTCGGCTTAAACATTTACTCACATCAGATGCAAAATAATTTTTAAAAATAATTTTGCTCTTACTTATGCTCACCTTAACATGCTAAATTTATGAAGTTATTGATCTTAACCACGTGAAGATGACTAAGCTCTTTAGAAGGATTGCATGCCAAAGAAGAAGCTCAACACAACATATTTCGGTAAGAAAACCCGATCCTCCAAAACAATAAAAGAAATATATTTTCAATTTGAAGTTGTTCGACTTAAACGCAGTGTAGAACTTGGAAGAAATGACAATTTTGTGTGAAATAAAGAAAGGAAGAAAAATAAATTTTGGTACATACTGTGGCTCTCATCCCTCCTGAAGATACAAATATGGCCGTGGCCTCACTAGATTGCCTCACTGCCCCATCCAAGTCTGAAGGCAAGCAACTGAAACAGAAAGCAAAAAAGTGAACAACTTTTTTCTACCCATTGGAATGTATATCTAATTTTATCAATCTGCCTTTTTCCTATTCCCATATGACTTCAAAATATGGTGACTCAAAATTGAGGACTCACTCAAATGGCATAAGCATGAGAGACGTGATGTTTGAGTTTCCAGAACAAAACAAAACATCCTACACAAAGATAAGAGTCCTATATATGAAATAAATTAACAGTATCCATCCTCTGTTGCCGGATACTTACAAAAAAACATAAATTGGGACAAAAAAACATAATCTACGAAGTGCAAATAGTAAAGTAGTATAATACCTGTCATCTTCCTCATCATCCTTAACAGAAGCTTCGGTATTTTCTTCTAATGTGGATGGTGGGTCGGGCTCCGGGGATTCGGTTGGGAACTTCTCAAACTTGGCAAAAACTCTGAAAGTGGAGGTTGAAGAGTGAAGTGAAAGGCCATTGTAGGCGCAAAGTAGAGGGTGTGAGAAAGATAAGGAAAAAGGGGTGACTGAGGTTGGAAGGGGTATTCAAGGATGGTAGTTACAGTGGAAGTTGCAGGCTATGGTTGAAGAAGCCATTTATATGTTACTTGTTAAGTGATAATCTGTTCATCGCCCAAAGGCCGTGGATAATTGATGAATATTGCAAATTGTATATAATCAACCACTGTTGCAGCTTTGCTCCATTGCTTGGCTTTTAATCTCTTTAAAGTAACAAATAATCTTGTGTTCATACAAAGTATTATCATATCACCGTGCTATAAAGTATTGTTCAACATAAAAATGTATTCATTCGAGTTGAAAATCTTTTAATTTATCAATTTTCAAATTTTGAGTTTAATCGAGTCATTTAACGTCAAATGCAGAATTATCTTTGATAAAATAAATACATATATTATAAATAAAAAATATATAACATCAAATATAGAGTATAACCTGAATTTACAACGAATTCAAAACAATGTACCCTTTTAAAGACTTCACACCATTCTTTTTGTTTGTCACTTGTTTCAGGTTGAAGTTTACTCACAGAAGATTATGTCGGAATTAGGATTATGGTCTACTACAACGATTTGATTGAAAAAAAAAACTGTTTGTAATGACTGTAATTATTTTTTAATTGAATATTATTATATTTATATTTATATTTATATGCTATTCTTTTATTTATTATAGAGTTATACTATTTTTACTTAAGATTTATTATATATAATTTTTTTTAACTTATATTCTATCAGTTTTTTTTATGCACACCAAATTAGGATTCCAAGTAAATTTAATACAAAAAAAAACTGCGAAGCCCATTACCACGAAAAGATTGGACTTTTGAAGTTTGGTTGCCCAACCATGAAAGCCCATCCTGAGGTCCAAAATAGAAGACGGTGTGGTGGACGCTACGGCCAATTTGATATTGGCATATAGCCGTTATAATTTCAAACTTCGAAATCTCAAAAAGAAAAGAACCCACATCCACTTCACCACTATTCCCTCTCACTCTCTCTCTCTCTCTTGCGCTCTCTATTGCTCAGGAAGTGGAATTGTGCGTCACTCTTCTCCCAGAAAACCATGGACGGTACTCTCACTTACTCAATATTCAACAATCAATCAAATTAACCACTTATTCTTTGACGCAAATCACCTATTCTTGCAGATCAATCGGTTCAAATCCAAATCCTCGCTGAAAAATTCCACCGGCTCGTTCTTGACTACGAATTCAAGCAACCGCCTGTCGCTCCCGGCTCAGGTTCCCTCTCTATTTTCGATTCAATTTTCCATTTCCATTTGGAACGACAGAAAATAAAATCAATGATCCTAATCTCAGCCAAAATTACGTTGTTAATTAAGATCTTGGATAGTTTGTTGATTTGTGGAATCTGTTGATTTGTGGAATTTCAACAGATGATGTATCGAATCAGGTGAACGAGAACTTAGACTCCATGGACGAAAACAGTATGTCCCATGAAATCCTCCAAGTTTCTCCGGATCAGGGCCACACACTTCCCATATTGAAGAAAATACTTGATCTCAGCAATAAAATTCAGGTAAATCTTTAGTGTTAGTTTAAAACCACATTTAATTTAATCCTGTGTCTTTCTTTTCCTTAAATTTCTGGGTTCTTCTGGTTCTGTTTATCTTAGTTTACCTGAGTTTTATGGTTCACCGATTAGGATTTGAAGATCCAGCATGTAGCATTGTCTGATGAAGTGAAACAAACTACTGAATCTTTTCCGGGCAATGATGTTTTGAAATCTGTGCAGCTTCTCGGTATGCATCTAGTAGGAAACTACAAAAATACATGAAAAACTGAACATTCTCCGTCGCTCTCTCTGTCTATGGTTAATTTGTTTATAATATTAATAGATTTTGGGATTTTCTTCTGGCATTAGGTGCTGAATACGAACTCTTAAAAAGAAAGTACCTGGACGAGTCATCTGAGCGTAGGCGGCTTTACAATGAAGTAATTGAACTCAAGGGGAATATCAGAGTTTTCTGTAGATGCAGACCATTAAATGAGAGTGGGTCAGCATCTGTAATCAATTTTGATTCGTCTTCAGATAATGAGCTTCAAGTCATTTGTACAGATTCTTCTAAAAAGCAATATAAATTTGATCATGTATTCGGCCCAGAAGATAATCAAGGTACCAAGCAAAGCTGCTTCTCTTTTTTTATTATGGAAAATTGTTGAAACTGAATGCATTTTTTGTTTTTGTTACGCAGAGGCTGTTTTTCAACAGACCAAACCCATTGTTACATCAGTATTGGATGGGTATAATGTCTGCATTTTTGCCTACGGGCAAACTGGAACTGGGAAAACATTTACGATGGAAGGAACACCAGAACAGAGGGGAGTTAACTACAGAACCCTGGAAGAACTATTTCGGATAACTGAAGAGAGACATGGCACAATGAAGTATGAATTGTCAGTTAGCATGCTGGAGGTTTACAATGAGAAGATAAGAGATTTGTTGGTGGAAAATTCCACCCAACCTACAAAAAAGTGAGTGAAGAGAAACACGACACTATAGTTTCGTAGTTCAAATAATGTATTCTTTTTAGATGCATAGCTTTCTAACCATCTCTACATTTCAATCAATCAGCCAATAAACTAATTAATGTAGTTTCTAGTTTTCCTTCACTCTCTACCCAGCTACATGCATGGAATTTTGATGTATAAAATGTTCGGTGTCACTGATGAAGAAGACAAATTTTTAAATTTTAGATTGGAGATAAAGCAAGCTGCCGATGGAACCCAAGAAGTCCCTGGACTTGTTGAAGCTCGTGTTTATGGAACAGAAGATGTGTGGGAAATGCTTAAGACGGGAAATCGAGTCAGATCAGTTGGATCCACCTGTGCTAATGAGCTTAGCAGTCGTTCTCACTGGTACATCTAGATTCTTACCGATTGACTCATTGTTGCTTGTACTTCACATTTCTTCTAAACTTATTTGTATTATATACTTTTAAAGATCTTAATTCTTGAGTATTTTAATCATATTTAGTTGAATAGTTGTTATTTTACTTTGAACAGGTCATGTTTTAAGCTGAGGTAGATACTTTCTTTAGTGATAGTAGATGTTATATAATTGTCAATGAAACTTATGGTTTTGGAAGAAGTTATTAAAAATTATAGATAATGATCGAGAGGCGCTTTTACATGCAGCTTGTTACGAGTAACTGTAATGAGCTTAGCAGTCGTTCTCACTGGTACATCTAGATTCTTACAGATTGACTCATTGTTGCTTGTACTTCACATTTCTTCTAAACTTATTTGTATTTTATACTTTTAAAGATTTTAATTCTTGAGTATTTTAATCATATTTAGTTGAATAGTTGTTATTTTACTTTGAACAGGTCATGTTTTAAGCTGAGGTAGATACTTTCTTTAGTGATAGTAGATGTTATATAATTGTCAATGAAACTTATGGTTTTGGAAGAAGTTATTAAAAATTATAGATAATGATCGAGAGGCGCTTTTACATGCAGCTTGTTACGAGTAACTGTAATGGGGGAAAATTTAATCAATGGCCAGAGAACAAGGAGTCACCTTTGGCTTGTAGACTTAGCTGGTAGTGAGCGAGTGGGAAAAACTGAAGCTGAAGGAGAAAGACTGAAGGAATCTCAATTCATAAATAAGTCACTTTCTGCGCTCGGTGATGTCATTTCTGCCCTTGCTTCTAAATCGGGCCATATTCCTTACCGGCAAGTCTCTTTTTCTCTCTTGAACGCATTCATACTGAATGATCCCTTTTTCTAATTATTATTTGTATCCTCTGGTTTTGACAGGAACTCAAAACTCACTCATATGCTGCAAAGTTCTTTAGGTGAGATTCCACTTCAACATTATAAATTTATGATCCTTTGAAAATGACTCTGATTTGATTTCACGTCTGGACTTCTATGACTGTTAATGATTGATATATGTGGCTGAAATGCAGGTGGAGACTGCAAAACGTTGATGTTTGTGCAGGTAAGTCCAAGCGCAACAGACTTGGGAGAGACACTTTGCTCACTGAATTTCGCCACCCGTGTCCGTGGAATTGAGGGTGGCCCAGCTCGCAAGCAAGTAGACCACACTGAACTGTTTAAGTACAAGCAAATGGTAAGCTAGTATGAAATTGTTCTAATAAACATAACTACGATTTTTTTCAATTCCTGAAACTCAGAAATCTTTCATAATTAAAGGTAGAAAAGCTCAAACAAGACGAGAAGGAAACAAAGAAATTAAAGGATAACTTGCAAATTGTGCAACTCAGGCTTGCTTCAAGAGAACACCATTGTAGAACCCTTCAGGAAAAGGTATAATCTTCAGAAATATTCATGCAATGCAAGTAACTCAGACAAGATGATAATAAATTCTTTTTTTTTTAATCAAATTCATTATTTCATGTATTCCGTGACAGGTTCGGGACCTGGAGAATCAGATAGCAGAAGACAGAAAACACAGACTAAAGCAAGAAAGTAGAGCACTTGCTGCTGTTTCGGCTCAACCTTCATCATTATCACAACACACAACGGCCCAGAAAACAATGACAAACAAGAAGCCACCACTGAATCCTTCCAAACTCAGACAACCACTGAGAAAAATAACTAACTCCTTGCCTCCACGGTCTCCTCTAAGATCAAAGAGTTACACCACATTCATGAATGGAAAGGAAAACTCTGCGAGAAGGGCTTCAGTGGCGATCAGTACCGTGAGGCCAGCTGCGCCATCGACCACACAGCAGTTCTTTCAGGCAAGGAGGCGGGTGTCCATTGCCACGAGACCACCATCTGCACCATCAACAACGCATGTCATTCTGCCAAGGAGGAGGGTCTCCATTGCCACACTACCTCTTCAGTCAACTTCTGGCATGACAACTCCTCTCCGTACCTCAGAATTCCGAGTTACCAGTGGAAGCAGTCAACAATCACGGATAAGAAGCCAAAGGAAAGATAGGTATTCAAGTTTGTTTGCCCCATTACCAGAGTTGAGAGAAACAGTTTTGACAACACCAATGTCTGTAAAGAGCAGCAGCAAGTTTATGAACAGTCCAACACAGGCAGATTCCAGGATGATGGGGCCCGTTAAAAATCAACCTGTTATCGCTCTACAACGAAAACCTGTGGTGTGGAGTCCTCTTAGGGTAAGAGCCATGAACAGAAAGTCAGCACTCTTGCCATATCGCCCAACCCAAATGCAGTAAACATTGTTTTCCCATACAATGTGTCAAGTACTAGAGTTTTGAGCTAATGCCAACGTGTATAAATTAGCATACTGTGTTTGGTTTATGAATCAACTTAGATTCAACTAAATTTTTCTCAAAGCATGTCATGCCAAATACTCGTGTATGTTGTTCAATCAAATTTCTGATCTTACATTTAATTGTCAAATGCTTTATTTTTATTCATTTCCTATCTCATATTTTTGGTTTGTAAAAAATATTGCTGACAATATTTACATAATTTATTTAGAAATAAAAAGGTGTAATGTGCTGTTTTTCAGGTAAAATGTTTAATTCTTTACCAATTAAATGATGGTTAATCTTTTTACCTCTCTTGTAAGAATGTTTTTGTGAGAAACATGGACTAATTAAACATGAGGACTGTACCTTCTTTTTTTCAATTTGGAATTTACCGTAAATTAAAAAAATAACACTTTGTATCATATATGTTAATAACTATGTATATTCACATTTGTTTATTATTTATTAACCACTTGTTTTTGAGAGAGAACTGTTAATTATATGATAATCACATGGATCAATCAATCTTTATGTTTATGTTTACATTTATTAATTTAAAAGGATGGTGTGAACTGCATTTTGAGAAGTAACTCTTTATTGTTGTTAGCTACGTTATACTAAATGTTGTTAGCTACGATTTGCAACTTGCAACGTTCAATCATAACAATTTTTTTTTTTCAGTTTTTTACTTTTTGTGACATTAAACTGGTTTTAATACATGGTAGTCAAAAACTGTAAATGTGGAAAATATTCAAAAATATGTACATTATTAATAATAAATTATGAAATAGGGAAATATTATTATTTTACAGTAATAATTTCAAAAATAAAAATCATTTTTAACAATGTAAATATTTTCTACTGACAACATATCAAATTTAAAACTTACACTTTTTAAGTAAATAAAAAATTGATTCTACTTTGGAACTTAACTAATATTAAATAAATTTAAAATTTTGATGACTAATATATTGCTTAATTTGTATCAAAAGGAAATTAACTTTTAAACCTTTCTTTTAGTCTCAGCTTTATATTATAACATTTTATTCTAAAACTACATTGACTAATAGAAGTGCGCCCACGTAATCATCCCTGGGCCCAAGCAAAATAAAAAAGAAAAGAGTTGCATATAGCCGTTGGCGTTGAATTAGCTTACCTAGGACCAGACATAGATTTAGTCGACCGTTGGAAAACTAACGTTACACGGAGTTCGTGTTTGTTCGACGTCAACAACACTTGGGAGCCAAACTCTGCAACCAAAGGCAAAAGGTTTTGGGTCCGTGTCTTCCTATTAGAGAGAGAGATTGAGATCCAATCTTTGGGTGGGTGGGCACTAGGTACTAGTTGGAGAGATTGTTTATCAGTGAGTGAAATTCTTGAGACCCACCTTGTGTGTGCTTGATTTCATTCTTCGGAATCCGAAGATGGTTGCAAGAACCCCACCAAAGCAGAAGAGACTTTTGGCTTCCCTCAATCCTGTTCTGATTAAGGAAACACTCAACAAGGTAATCCACCACGTTAATGCCAGTGTTCTTCATTAATGACACCATGTAAATTTTGAATCTTTGTAAGTGAATCGCTGTGGGTGTTTGAAGGTGGATCAATGCGTGGCTCGGCTGCAGGAACTTCAGTATATTGTGACTGGGGGAACCAAGGTGGTGTCTGGGGTGAGTCTCAGCCCTCGCAGCACAAGAGGTTATCTTAGAACCAGTCTCAGGTGTAAGCAAGAGTCACTCAGGTCTGCTTTAGATTCTATTTGAATTTCAGTTCATGATCACCTATTTCAGCTTAAAACTTTGATTTTCATTTCTATGCACCGATCAATGAAAAATGATCTTTGTTAGTTACTATAAACGTGTTAACAGACTTTTACATATGCGACACTTTGTGGTTGAAAGACATGTATTATTATTCTTAAACTTTTTTCACATAAACTTTTTTGACATTTATTGTTGCAAAATATTATGTACTCTTGCCGTTATGAAGGATCAAGAACGGTGCCTCAAGGAGATCTCCAGTGGGGAAGTTTCCAGCAAACACAGGTTTGTTTGTTCTCTCTATTCACTTGCAAAGAAATCTTTACTTGGACTTGGAATAGGACTTGATGATGAAGGACAACATGGATATAATTGGCTTTCCCTTTAGTTATTTTGATCCTTGTTGTGAATCCTTATGCAGGTGAATGGAAGAGAATGTCACTGCCTGCGATGCTGGTAGGCGAAACTGTTGGAGAAATTTTGCAGGCAAGTCAGTTTGCCAGGGAAATAGTCTCAGCAGTTGGTAAGAAAACAGCCCCAGATGACCCAAAAACTCCAATGTCTCAACGGAGCAACCAGAAAGTAGAACTTGAAAACACACAACTCAGAGCCAGAAGGAAGAAAGAGAAGCAGACCAAAGTTCAAAATGATGGTTCCCCGCCACTGCAAAGGGCTCGCTCCAGAATTAACTTCAAACTTTCTCCTCCGAAGGTTAGAGAATTTGATAAAGAAAGCAACCGGTATACGGCAAATAGGGTGTCTCCCAGGAACAGGCCATGGGCTAGAAAAACTGTACTATTCCCCAACCCTTTGTTCTTGTCCACTCACTCGTCTTCACAGTCACAACAGCAACAGTTTTGCAAGACAAGGTCACCTATCATTTCAAGAAATAGAGGAACAACATCATCACACAAATTTTTGATCAAGTCTCCATCTTCACCACAACGGCAGCAACAGTCTTGCAAGGCCAAGTCCCCTGTCATATCGAGAAATAGGGGTGGAACACCTCACAAGTTTTTGATAAAGTCTCCATCTTCAACTTCCAAATTTCAAATCCATATCAAATGCCCACCAACTGTGTCCATTTCACCCACAAGAGCTGTAAGATTGAGCAGGAGTCCTCCCAAGAGATCATCATCCACTGCATCTAAATTCCGTCGATCTTTCTCTCCTTCAAGAATAGCATCCAGATTGGTTTCACTCTCACCATTGAGGAGCAAGAAAACTGTACAGAAAAATGACGGGTTTGTAAGTGGACTCAAACAGCGGCCCACACCGTCAGTGCAATTCCCTGTTAGAGGAGTTTAAGAACACACCATTAGTGCATTGCTCTCTGGCTACTCTGTTGTACTTTTTCATCACCATGTCAATTCTTAATGTCCATATTTGTGATCGTTTTTCCTCCTTGGGTTTCAGTTGGTGTGAGGATTTTTCTTTAATGTCCATAGCATTTTTTTTCCTATTCATTTCAAGGTAAATCACAATTCAATACCATTTATTCAGTGTTTACAAATCATATACTATTAAACACCTTCTAAGTCTATCAATAATCCTGGTAAACTTTTTCTACAATTTGTGTTTGTTAGGGAAATCATATACACTGCAATATATATATATATATATATATATATATATATATATATATATATATATATATATATATATATATAAGGGGGAAGAGAGTATTTTACAATTCACATGTTTTACAAATTTTGTTAAAATCCGTAATCTTAGAATGTATGCTAGATTGTAATCCGTAACAATACATGTTTTTTATATTATTAATCTATATTTATTTATTTACTAATTATATCTACTTTTATATAGTTAAGGTTATAATAAATAGATAAATATATTTAGTATATAAAATATGTTTTTTATTTACACTACAAAATCATTTACATCATGAACATTTTTAACTGTTTATAAATATTTTAAAAAAATAATACTTAATTTTAAGATAAAAATAAAAGAGAAATATGATTAATAGTGCAACTATATATACGAATGATGGCCATTTTGTCCTCTAATAACACATTAACATGTTAATAGTGCATCATTAATTCGGATTTGAAAAAAAAATGGTGACGAAGCCAAATTTTGAAGGCACTACGCTAAAAAGAGAAAATCTAAAATAATGATAATATATACATATAAAAAAAAATTATGTTCTTTTCTTGTGGACTAGTCGATGGGTTTGGGTTGGTGATTGTGGCAGTGAGATAAGACCGTGCCCTTTTCTCCCAACACATATCTCAACTTCACTCCCCATGGGTTGTTGTTGCGACGAAGACGACGGCGACGTTTTCCGGCAACTCATCAATTCGAATTTCCCCTCCTCATCCACCTCTACCACCACCTTTTCCTTCACCGTGATCTCCCCCATGAATTCCCATTTCTCGGCACTCTCCTCCACCGACATCCTCCGCCTCATCTTCCAGAACCTTCCAATCCCCGATCTCGCCCGTGCCAGCTGCGTCTGCCGTGTCTGGAACTCCGTCGCCTCCCAGAGGGACATGCTCACCAGAGCCTTCGTCGTCCCTTGGAAATTGAACGACGTTGTCGGCGACCCGCTATCTGGAAGCTTCTGGAGAGACAACTCCCTCGCCAAATTCGCCATTTCCCATCGTATTTCGCGCGGCGACACCGTCGCTAGCCTTGCAGTCAAGTACTCCGTTCAGGTACCTGCCACTTAAAAAAAGTTTTATCATTTTTCATTATTAAGTAAAAGTAATATGAAATCAAATTCGGCAGTAGTTTCCACACAACGAAATGTACCCATCCTATGTTGTAATTATAGGATGCTAGGTTTTCACTTATTGACTGAATTACGGCAATGCACTTACTTCTTGTGACTTTTGAGGCTGGTATATTTTCAAGAAATTGGCTATTTTCAAGTTAGGGGAGCACTTTTGGAATGCAATTTGCTGAATTGTAACCAATGATTTCCTTGATTTTGGCGATCAAGTTTTTATATAAACTTTTTAAAAGCCAAATGCTATTTTTTAAGTTTTCTTAAAAAACATTTTTTCTGTGAAATGGAAAAGTAAATAGTGTATGTACTAATAGGGTGAAAGGTTTTTACATTATCATCTAATCACAAGTTGGCATATCTCTTTAAAGCCAAATCCTATTTTCAAAGTTTTCTTAAAGATCATTTTTGCTGTGTGATAGAAAAGTAGATAGTCTATACATGCCATCTAGGTAAAAATTTTGGACCATTAGAAATTTATGATTACTTTGTTGAATTACACAATATTCAACTTAAATGTCATTTCTATGATTTCAGATTGGGTGAGAGTGTAAAAATTTAACATATTTTTTTTGGAAGGCAAATAATAGTAATATATAATAAGAAGCTGCTTCGTAACAGTTTGTTACACTAACAAGTACAACACATCTCCAAGCAAAACAACGACCTCCCCACTGAAACCAACTAGCCATAATCAAAGAAAAGTACAAAAAATAAAAATCAGCCACGACTCCTACAAAAAGGAATCACCCACCCATGCCCATGATAACAACATGAGAACCTAACACAACCTATTGCACTAGACCTTTGAAAATCTTTTCCAAGAACTATGACAATACCTTCAGACAGAACAGAGGTTGTACATTTTATTGATACAAAGAAAATGAACCTTTTAAAACTTAACCTTTACATTGATTGGATGATATTTTTATGTTTTGATAGGTAATGGACATAAAGCGCTTGAACAACATGATGAGCGACCATGGTATATACTCAAGGGAAAGATTATTGATCCCTATTAGTAATCCTGATATTCTCATTAACAGAATATGCTTTATTGAGCTGGATGTTTATGCAAAACGAGAAGTGGCAGTGTTGTATTCTAATGATGTACCAGACAAGAGGAGTACCTATGTGTCAAACAGAATTTCCTCAGAAGAAAGCAACAAAAAGGTGGTTGATTCCTTGAAGAGAAGCATGCAAGTTGACAATGAAACGGCTCAATATTACTGGTCTGTTGCAAATGGTGATCCACGAGCGGCGTTTGCTGAATTTTCTGCGGACCTTAAGTGGGATAGGCAAGCTGGGCATTCCTAGCCTTTCTTAAGGTTACCTTGTTTGGCATATTTGTGAGATTGGTTCCAAGTGGACAAGAAATGAGTTAAGAGGTTTGGCAGGCAATGGATAAATAATTAAGAGGCTGTGTTGCAGGCAAGTGTATGCTTCAATAGGTTTCTTCTTAAAAAATCTGTTCATTCTCCTCTGATTGAATACTGCTTGTGTTGTCAATATACTGTCATATTTTGATTTTCTCAGTCGGAAATATGAAACTAAAGTCATATACTGCTGCTGCTGCTGTGTAAAAGATTTCAGCCACTAATGTGGTGACGTGTGTTCAGAATCTGTGTAACTAGTAATTTGTTGTAAAAAAAATTTTAAGAAATTGATGCATTGTTTTAGTTTGGTCGGTGGAGAAAGGTTTGATTTTATTCACACTTGTAGGCATTCATATTTACCGCTCCGGATCAGAATTTATGCCAAGAATAGGCTTTTTAAACAAAATAATGGATAGGATGGACCTTTTTTCCCTTTTACTTCCAGTACTTTGTTATGGAATATGATTAGTTTTGCAGGAAGAGATAGGGCGTTTGAGCCTTTCAGAAGCTAAATTATATTATCCAATGACTTCATAGATAAGGGTGTGTGAGGCATCAGAATCTATTTGTGAAACGAATGTTTGATATCCTATTCTCATCTTGTCTTTTTGTAATAATAGTTAATGCCTTTATGAATACTATCTTTTCTAAGGCCTTGTGCTGTCAGTTGCGAGAACCTTTGAATGGAGAATGTTGAATCGGTGGTACTGTAACCATGTATCCTCCAACAGCAAAATGATTTGATTCATTTCTAGTCAGCCACATGCCATTCTAGTACGACTAGTAACCACGGAATGTCCATGATATGAACATTTTCTCAGGCATCTTGCAACTCTGTACAATGAAAGCTTCCATTTTTCTTGATTGGTCGACTGTGAAAATGTTGGAACTTCTCAAAGTATTCATGCTATTGATTCGCAATTTTAACGGGAATTTGCTTTAGTTTCAAAGAGGAAACATCTTAATTTAGAGCATGCTGTCTACGTCTTAATTTTATTTCTTCTTTGTTAAAACATTTGAAGGGTTTAAATAAAAATCTCAACTTTTCGTTGTATATTTAAGTAGATTCATATCTCAACTTCACTGGAAATTTCTGAAGTTTTTATTTGAACTACTTCCACAATTAATGCTAAATAGACCTATTAAATCAATAAACTCAAAAGTAAAAAAAAAAAAATTATTATTGACGTGAATATGACCTATGATAAAGACTAGAGCAAAGGAAGTAAATAAAGTTTTTCAACAAGTATTGTTGGTTGATCAAATTTTGTTTTAGATTAATCAATTAATGGACTTTAGTTTGGTTTTATTGCAAGTTGTCATAAGGGCTCAATTGAAAATTTAGTTATTTGGGAGACCAAGAAAGTGTATAATTAATTAATTTTTTGTTGTCACAATTTCAGTTATAATCCGTCATTAAGTAGTTTTGAATTCCTAGGTTAATGAATCATTATTAGTTTTTATTTGTCTCCATTAAGTAGTTTCCAATTCCTAGGTTAATGAATCATTATTAGCATTTATTTGTCTCTATTAAGTAGTTTTCAATTCCTAGGTTAATGAATTATTATTAGCATTTATTTTTCTTTATTGAATCTTTGTAATTTTGATGGCAAAGCTTCTATATAGGTTAAACCATTTTTATCAAAAAAACAAGTGGAATTTTATTCAGAAATATTAGACTTTATCTCTTTTATCTTAATGAGAGTGATTCTCCTAAATTCTTGAGTGATTCAAGAACCTTTGGCTGTATTAAAGGACTTGCACATCCTTTGTGAGTTGTGTTCCTTGGAAAGAGTGATTCTTTCCTTCCACCTTATCACTAAATTCCTAAATTTCTTACAAGGTTCTAACCCTAAAGATCCTAAATCATCTCTTGTGTTATTGAGATTCATATCAGTTGGTATCAGAGCCCCAGTTTAAGGGTTTGAACATTAAATTGATGGCAGAAGAGGAAAATTACAATCAAGAAGCAAGAATTAGTCCATTTTAAATGAGAGCAATAGTACAACATTTGAAATGATTAATGATACGACATAATAATGAGCTCCATGAAAGATTGAACCGATTAGAGAATAGAGATCCCGAAGATGAAGAAGAAAGGAGAAATAGGAGAAGAAATGATGAAGTAGCAAGACTAAGTAGGTTTGAAGGAGTCAAACTTAGCATTTCTTCATTCAAAGGAAAAAGTGATCCGGAGGCATACTTGGAGTGGGAGATGAAAATAAAGCATGTTTTTTCATGCAACAATTATGAGGAGACCCAAAAGGTGAGACTTGCAACTACAGAATTTTCTGACTATGTTCTTGTTTGGTGGAACAAGTTACAAAAGGAGAGAGGTAAAAATGAAGAGTCAATGGTTGATACATGGACTGAGATGAAAATGATCACGAGGAAGCGGTATGTGTCAGCTAGTTATTCAAGGGACTTGAAATTTAAACTCCAAAAACTTACTCAAGGCAACAAGGGGGTTGAGGAGTATTTCAAGGAAATGGACATACTCATGATTCAAGCAAAGATTGAAGAAGATGAAGAGGTAATTATGACCTGATTTATTGGTGGTTTGAATATTGATATACGTGATATTATTGAGTTGCAGGAGTTTGTTGATATGGAGAAATTACTTCATAAAGCAATTTGAGTGGAGCAACAACTCAAAAGAAAAGAGGTGGTTGAAATTTTTTTTACCAACTTTGAATCTTCAAGTTGGAAGGACAAAGGCAAGAAAGATGAGGTTGTTACTTCTAGTAGTTCCACACTTATTCTTACAAAGACTCCTTCAAAGTCTGAAGAAACAACCCTCTAAAAGAAGTAGATATATGAAGTGTTTCAAATGTTAAGGTCTAGGACATTATGCTTATGAGTACACTAACAAAAGGTTTATGGTTCTTAGAGAGAGAAAATATATAAGTGAATCTGAGGTTGAAGAGAGTGAGGACATAGAGGAGGAGGAGAAGATTCCAAAAGGAGATTTATTAATTAATAGACGATTACTTGATGGGAAATTGAAGCCTATGAAAGAAAGCCAAAGAAAAAACATTTTCTATTAATCAATGACAAGGTGTGCATGATGATTATAGATAGAGGTAGTTGCACCAATGTGGCTAGTGCTAGATTAATGTCAAAGCTAAATTTACCTACTAAACCATATCTTAGGTCTTATAAACTTTAATGGCTTAGTAAGGATGGAGAGGTGCAAGTGAGGAAGCAAATTGAAATGAACATTTCCATTGAAAAATACAATGATAAGGTACTTTGTGATGTTGTTTCTATGGAGGTCAGTCACTTACTTTTGGGGAGACCATGACAATTTGATAAAAGAGTCAATCATGATGGGTTCACCAACAGTATCTTTTCCATGCGCCAAGACAAAAAGATTGCTCAAATCTTTAAGTCCACAAGAAGTGTGTGAGGATAAAAATAAAATGAGAGAAAAATTTCTTCAAGAAAAGAAAAGAAAAAACATTAGTGAAACACTTGAGAAGAAAAAGAGTAATCAAAAGAAGAGTAAAACACTTGAAGTGAGAGAGAGTTATTTAGTCATAAAAAGTGAATATAATATTTGTTCTACATTCAATTTGTCAGACTTATCTCTTTTTAATGCAGATAATAAATCTAATTTGAGGACAAATTCTTTTCAAGAGGAACAAAATTATGTGAACATGACCTATGATAAGAGCTAAAGTAAGGGAAGTAAATGAAGTTTTTCAACAAGTATTGTTGGTTGACCAAATTGTGTTTTTGATTAATCAATTAATGGACTTTAGTTTGGTTTTATTGCAAGTTGTTATAAAGACCCAATTAGAAATTTAGTTATCAGTCTTTGAGAGATCAAGAGGGTGTATAGTTGATTGACTTTTGATTGCCACAATTTCGATTATAATCAATCATTAAGTAGTTTTCAATTCCTAGGTTAATGAATTATTATTAACATTTATTTTTCTTGATTGAATCTTTATAATTCGATGACAAAACTTTTATATAGGCTAAACCATTTTTATCAAAAATAATAAGTGGAATTTTATTCAAAAATATTATAGTTTATCTTTTTTATCTTAGTGAGAGTGATTCTCCTAAATTCTTGAGTGATTCAAGAATTTTTAGGTTATATCAAAAGACTTCTACATCCTTTGTGAGTGTCTTTTTTTGGAAAAATGATTATTTTCTTCCACTTTATCACTAAATTTTTAAATTTCTTAGACGGTTCTAACTTTAAACATCATATTTCATTTATTGTACTATTGAGATTCATGTCAATTATTAAAATTTCCTTCATAATTATGCTCGTTCCTTTAGGTGCTAATGTTTCTGCAAGTAACCATTTCGTGCTGAAGCAGAGAAGGAAATATAACAAAGTTAACGCGTTATGACCCACGCTTAAGCACGTAATTTACGAATTATAACCTCCACTAACATACAGTAATCCTCTTATTCGTACAATTTTTAGAAAGAGTGAGAACTTAATTCCAGCATTAATTCCATGATGAAAAGAACGTTGCTAAAAGAGCGCGGAACATTGTAAAGTGCGAAGATCACTACACAAAATATAAAAAAGTATCATATGAGAATATTGTAAAGAGCCAAGTCTTGGATATCGTAAAGTGCTAACATCAATAAATGCAATAGAAGCACCGAAAACCAACGATCAAAGAGTAAACAAAAGATTAAAGAGTTCCAATAAAAGTAGCATTTGAGAATATTGTAAAGGAGAGCCAAGCCTGGGTTATCGCGAAATGGGAACATCAAAGCACGGAAAGATATAGAAGAACCAAAATCAATTTTAGATCTACAAAACTTAGAGCACAAGTTACAAAATTAAGTGCTTCCACAATAGTGCAATATACATTGGTAAACATGTAACAATGTATCATATTGGACAATAATATATCAATCAAATATAAATGTTTAATAAATAGTTAGGACTAAACCATGAGGACCTACTATGAAACTTCAATTCAGTCAATAAAAATATATGTAATTAAACTTAATGTAAGATATTTATGATAATATTTTCAAAATATTAATTACAAAAAATCAGATAAATATTAACAAATATATAAATATCAATTATTAATTTCACTTGTTACCAAAATTCTTCGTAAATATATAATAAAAAATAGTATGTCAAAATAAATAAATAATACCTACGTTAATATGGTAATAAACTTGAAAGAATTAGTTATGCTATAAAACTACTAAATCAAAATAAATTATGATATTTATCTTTATAATAACATCGAAATCAACAAACTTAAAGCCAAAAAATGAAACACGCTAAAACTTTTTAAATAATACTTTTTTTTATGTTTCTCATAACTTTTCTAGGTAGTTAGAACTTCTACTATCATAAATGTCATATTTACGGAAAAACTATATAGTATACGTTTATTAAATTTATAATAAATTTACTCCATATTCATTAACTTTTTCAGAAAATGTCTGCAACGTTAATGTTCATTGTAAATGCTATAACTTTAATTATTTTTTAAAGACTCAGGTTAAAGCTTTAAAGCGAGTAAGTCAACATATATTTTATAACAAAATAGTTTTCTTAATGCTATGGCATTCAATTATTAAACTTTATCATAAATAACACATCCGAGTTTAAAACTTTAACGTAAACCTGTGATTAATTTTTTTTTCTAATATTTTAAAATATAGGTTTTAAAATATTTCATTTTATCAGTGTCTCTATGCATGCGTTGCTGCTAACCGTATATATTCATCTAATAAATTATTATGCATGGTAATTTAAAATAATATATATATATATATATATATATATATATATATATATTTAAAATTTATATAACAAGATTAGTGAAGTCAAAAAGTAAACACAGGGTTAACTTGTGCGACAGAACATGTTCTCTAATAAGAACACCGTGGGTTAATTTGTCCCACTGTGTCTATAAAAGGCACACAACATTGATTGCTCCTTCACAATTCATTCACAGAACATTTACCGCCAAGGTTACTGTTTCTTTCTGCTAGTTTAGGAGTTCGATTTCCGAGAATAATGTTTCAGAACATCGTGAACGTCTTCACCGGCGATGACAAGCTCCGGCACCGACTGAAAGGAACGGTGGTCCTGATGAAGAAGAATGTGCTGGACTTCAACGATTTCAGTGCTTCCTTCCTCGATCGTCTTCACGAGTTTGTGGGTAAACGAGTTTCTCTTCAGCTCGTGAGTGCCGTCAACGTTGACCCAGGTCAGTCCACTTCCTCTCTCATGCTTCCACCTCTCTGCTAAACCTGGATCTCTTCACTTCCATCCTCTTTAACTTCAAATCTTACTCTTCAAATTCAAGTTGTGGTTTTGTTTTTTTTTTCCTTCAAAACAAGCTTCACGAGAACGACCACACCAGTTCTAGTGCCAGCTCTACTTTCAAGGAGTAACACAGTTTCCAACATAGTACTGTTTTTAAACAGATTTTTTGTTTAAAACAGTGAAATTATGAGTGGAACTTATTTGATTGTGTTTTTATGTTTTTAAAATATTTCATAAAATTGCCTTTAGATAATAAAAATCATCCTAGATTTGGAAGATGGCTTGGTGTATGCAAGAATTCGAGTGAAAAAATTTTGGAAGAAGGAAGAAGAGTAACTTGAAATATTCTGGTAAAAACTGATCATATCAAATTTTTTTTTTTAATAGAAGATAGTTTTAAAAAAGTATGATAAATAGTTTCTTCGTAAGTTGTAATTTTTTAATGCTAATTTTTTTAATGTTTTATTTCGAGCTGAGGATTAATCTTCAGTTGTGGTAAGTACAGTGCACTGAGATTTTGATATCTGGTTAAGTGGTCTATGATCAGAATAGTGAATACACTTTTTGTACTTTTTTTTCTTTTTCAACTTCAGCAACATAAAATAACTGCATAAAAATATTACTTTTGTTTGCTTAATTCAAACGAAATAGTAACTTTTATTTTTACATTAGTCTTTTAATTAAACTAAACTATTATTTATAAAAAATAAAAAGAAGAAGAAGCAGCTCGCATTAGATCAGATCCAAATCGGATATGCACTAGGTTTCAATAAACTATAAATAATATATATATAAAAAAAAGGTGGGTTTAGTCATGTACCCAAAAAAGTTGTGTTTATTTGAAGGTATAAAAACTTACTTTTGAAAAAGTAAATGTGTTAATATCTTCAAAATTATATATTATTGCTTAATTTGTATATTTTTTATTGTCTAAAATTATTAAATACTAAACAAACATGTTTATATGAAAATAATTCTTTGAAACATTCAAGTTTTGATAATATAATTACTGAAAAATACAATAACACAAACTGCTTGGGATTTGGGAATGGTGACGATTTTGTACGACTATGGAATAAAGAATGATTCGTAGAGCTAGTCAACTTGCATAGTCTTCAGCCAATGGGTATATATAATAATTTATCTGATGCTTAATATTATTATTATTATTATAAATATTCATACCACAAAAATTATAGATTTATAGTCACCCGTTCACAGTTGACGCCAACAGATTTATTAAAATCTCGTGTGAAACAAAGAAATATTTGCTTCCTTAGAATTGTGTATCTTTAAAAGGTAGTTTAATTGTTGGTTACCTTCTGTTGTAGTTTTTAAGTTCTATAGCTAAAAAAATATCTAAGGGTCATTATCCAAGACCTTCGTAGTTCCCACCGACAACAACCAGTGAATTATTTGGACATGTTGTTGTCTCTTTTTAGATCAAGCAACCTCATTGGATATTATGTTAGCCGGTTTACATCTCCTGCGCCATGAAAAATAATCGTATCTATCGTTGCTGATGTAGTCTTTACAAGTAACATAAACAGAAACAATTCAATAGAAATCATATCTGACCGGTTCTAATGTCAAAATGAAACTACTCTTCTTAAGGATTAATTGTCTATATAGACTAAAATCATATTTAACTCTTATCATTTATTACAAATTTATATCAAAGTTGAAATGTTATATGTGAATATTTGTAGGGAATGACAATGGCTTGAAGGGGAAACTTGGGAAGCCTGCTTATCTAGAAGACTGGATTACAACAATGGCACCTTTGACTGTGGGAGAAACAGCATTTAAGGTTACATTTGACTGGGATGAGGAGGTAGGAACTCCAGGAGCCTTTATAATAAGGAACAATCATCACAGTGAGTTCTACCTCAAAAGCCTTACACTTGAAGATGTTCCTGGCCAAGGTGTCATTCGCTTTATCTGCAACTCTTGGGTATACCCTGCTGATAAATATGAAAATGATCGCATTTTCTTCTCCAACAAGGTACACGTACAAACACAGTATCATGCATGTCCTCGCTAAATAAAATGACACATTTTTATAAGAAGTTATTGTAGTTCATTCTGAGACTTGTTGCAAGTTACATATTTTGTACTAATTGCAGACATACCTTCCGAGTGAAACACCAATGCCACTACTTAAGTACAGAGAGGAAGAACTGGAGAATTTAAGAGGTAATGGGAAGGGCCAGCTCCAGGAATGGGATAGGATCTATGATTATGATATCTACAATGATTTGGGAAATCCAGATAAGGGTCCACAACATGCTCGTCCTATTCTTGGAGGGTCTAAGGAATACCCCTATCCTCGTAGGGGAAGAACTGGTAGACCACCAACTAAATCAGGTAAGGCTCTTGATGACTGAGCCTATGTGACGTTAGTAACTTAGTAGTTATGCTCGAATCACGTAAGTTAGATCTCTTTCATGTCTAGTGAATCACGTGCGTCAGATTGAACCCTTGTTTATGGAACATAATATAATCTGATGAGTTTGGGATAGTTACGTTTGAGCACTGTCATATCTTAAGGGACTCATTTTATTGTAACTTTCAAATATTTTATATAGAGGTGTCAATTTATTTTGTTGTTTTCTTGGCAGATCCTAAATATGAGAGTAGGCTGAATATTGCCTCGAGCTTAGACATCTATGTTCCTAGGGATGAAAGATTTGGTCACTTGAAAATGGCAGATTTTCTTGCCTATGCACTGAAATCCATAGTTCAAGTTCTCAAACCGGAGTTGGAATCTCTATTTGACAGCACCCCTAATGAGTTTGACAGTTTTGAAGACGTATTCAAACTCTATGAAGGTGGGATTGAGGTGCCTGAGGGTATACTTACTGAAGTTAGGGATAACATCCCTGCAGAGATGCTTAAGGAAATTTTCCGATCTGATGGGCAAAGGTTCCTCAAATTTCCCATGCCTCAAGTGATTGCAGGTATAGTAGAAATGGATGGGTAATAGCATGTTCTTTGCAAGCAAATCATGCCTTTTGTAAAACATCAGTATTTATCTTAATGATGTCGATTTTTGGAACAGTGGATAAATCTGCATGGCAAACAGATGAAGAATTTGCTAGGGAAATGCTGGCTGGTATAAACCCTGTCGTAATTCGTGGTCTCCAAGTAAGCCCAAGTGTTTTTAATCAATTAATGATTGGCTTAAAGTATATAATAGGATCTCCGTCATGATTATCAAATCTACCATTCCTAATATATTTTAGAATCAATATCCCAATGAAAAATTGTCTAGGATTGCTTTCTCCTCACTATCGTCCATATATCTGCAGGAGTTCCCACCAGCAAGCAAGCTAGATCCTAAACTCTATGGTAATCAAACAAGTACAATAACCAAAGAACACATCGACAGTAACCTGGAAGGGCTCACTGTAGATGAGGTAATTTTCAAAATAGATAGGATGCTGTGTTTTTCAGTTTTCACATTAAAATATTGTTGAAACCATCGTTGTCACAGTCAAGGTTTTACTCTTAGCCAATGTTGAGATACATACTAATTTCTTGTATTTGGTTCAATAGGCAATTAGAGAAAGGAGGTTGTTCATTTTAGATCTCCATGACGCACTTATACCATACGTGAGGAGGATAAACTCTACTTCTACAAAGATCTATGCCAGCAGGACAATTGTGTTCTTGCAAAAAAAGGGGACTTTAAAGCCACTAGCCATTGAGTTGAGTTTGCCTCATCCTAATGGAGATCAATATGGTGCCATTAGTAAAGTTTACACGCCTGTGGAACAAGGTGTTGAAAAATCGTTCTGGCAACTGGCCAAGGCTTATGTAGTGGTAGTGGACTCAGGCTACCATCAACTTATCAGCCACTGGTAGAACTCTATCAGAGAAACCAAATACAATCTTAGTTTGTCTACTACTGAAATTAACTCAGATATTACATGTATCACAGGTTGCATACTCATGCAGTCATTGAGCCATTCATTCTAGCTACAAATAGGCAGCTTAGTGTGCTTCACCCTATTCATAAACTACTGCATCCTCACTTTCGTGACACTATGAATATAAATGCACTCGGACGACAGATTCTCATCAATGCAGGTGGTGCCCTAGAGTCAACGGTTTGTCCATCTAGGTATTCTATGGAGTTTTCATCTGTGCTCTACAAAGACTGGGTTTTCCCTGAGCAGGCACTGCCTGAAGATCTTGTCAAGAGGTATACCATTCAAGCAAAAGGCCCTTGCGAATTATCAATTGTTTGTTTTTCTGAATATGGTTGAGTTCAATAGATCATGTAATATTTTAACTTGTCAAGTTTAATAAGTATAACTAGAATAGCTTGGATGGTATCAAATTAATACAATTGAAAATAATCTGTTTTGACCAGCTGATGAAAATTTGCTTCTTTCAGAGGAGTGGCTGTTAAGGACTCAACTTCCCCATATGGCCTTCGACTGTTGATTGAGGACTACCCTTTTGCGGTTGATGGGCTAGAGATTTGGTTTGCTATCAAGACATGGGTTCAGGACTACTGCTCCTTCTACTACAAGGAGGATGACACAGTCAAGAAAGATACTGAACTGCAAACTTGGTGGAAGGAAATAAGAGAGGTGGGTCATGGGGACAAGAAAAATGAACCTTGGTGGCCAAAGATGCAGACATGTGAAGATCTGGTTCAAACTTGCACTATTCTTATATGGGTTGCCTCAGCTCTCCATGCTGCAATCAATTTTGGACAATATCCATTCGGAGGTTTCCCACCAAGTCGTCCAGCCATAAGCCGGCGATTCATGCCAGAAAAAGGAACACCAGAATATGAAGAACTCGTCGCAGATCCTGAGAAGGCTTATCTGAAAACAGTTAGTTCACAGTTTCAGGCTGTTCTTGGCATTTCACTTGTAGAAATATTGTCCAAACATTCTAGTGATGAGGTCTACCTTGGGCAGAGAGACACTCCAGATTGGACATCTGATGCAGAGCCATTGCAAGCCTTTGAGAAGTTTGGCAAAAAACTTGCTAGTATTGAGGAAAGGATCTTGAGAATGAACAGTGATGAGAAATTCAGAAACCGTTTTGGTCCAGTTAAGATGCCATACACCTTGCTTTATCCAACAAGTAAAGGTGGACTAACTGGCATGGGGGTTCCTAACAGTATCTCAATTTGAATGGTCCTGTCTTTAGTTGTAATAAATAATAATGGCCTTAGGAGGCTTTGCTTAATTTGAATTATGATTATAATGGCCAATACACTTTTGACTCATCTTTTTCCTAACAGTGTGCAAATTTTCTGTACATTGTTTTGCTTTTGCTTTCTCTCTAGTTGAACTTTTGATTTCTCTCTAGTTGAACTTTTGAGTTATTTTGGACTGAGGCAAACTGCACAAGAAAAGAAAGAAAAAGACAATCTCTCTCTGTTCAGAAGATTAAAACTTCACAATTTTGGCTAAAGATTTGTCTACACTGAATCTCCTCATTCCTTGGAATTTGTATCTTTAAAAGTTGATATTCAAATCCCAATTATTCATGTTTCCCACAACCATTTATTTGGATTGAAAATTTAAGAATTTCATACTAATTAAAATATATTAAATTCAAATTATTTTACTTCAAATAGGTAATTAATTTTAAACTTGTATAAAATATTTTAATTATTATTAAATAAAAAATGTACTTTTAATATTAAATAAAATTTAAAAATGTCAAAATATTTAATAATGTTATTTTATTTACCATTAGTTGAAGTTATTCTTTTGTAAAGTGACATTGACAACAAATTTTCTTAATTAAAATTTATTAAAAGCTCTCTGAGTCAATACTAAGAAAAATCTCGACCATCTCTTCACAAAAATTAATAGATGAAAAAAATTCACAACATCATAACTGATGCCTAACCAACTATCACTGAATTGAGATAAAGCTAACAATACCTTAACTAATGGAGGAGAGAATGAAAAAGAAACTATAAATATGAGAGAGAAAATATTATAAATAATTCCAAATCCTCACTTTTGTAAATTTCTATGTTTTAAGTAATCAAATTCAGATAATTTATTTTGATATAAAATATTTTTTTATCCAAACAAATACAAAGTTAAATAAAAGAGAAAATTGTAACGTTATAATAATAAATTATAATATATAATTAAGATAAAAATCAGTTTTATAAGATTGAATAATATATTTGCTTACAATAATGACACTTTTAAATAATATTAAAATATATATTTGCTTACAATAATGACACCTTTAAATAATATTAAAATATTTTATATATAACCTTATGGAAAATTTACTAAATAATACTCTCATAGGAGGAAAAAAAACACTGTCCAATACAACAAATATTTAATAAAAAGAATAAGAAAAATAAAAAAATTATATAATACAACAAATATTTCATAAAGAGTCTTTTATCAATAATAATCTCAAATTTGATTAAAATCACCTTCAAGTTATTATGTAAACAAAGAAAAGTTATACTTTTCAAGAATGACATCTATCTAACAATTCAGATAATAAGTGTTATGACAAAATCTCACGTTATGATTCCTTTCTCAATATGTAACACAATTTGTTATTCCACGACTAATATTTGTATGAACTTATATCCCAACAATGAATAACATTTTTTTTTTAACTTTTGCATATAAAATGAATATCACCCTTTTCCCCATATTCTTGCGAGCTTTATTTGTAACTAATTTACACATTTATAATTCATATGTATTTTTTATGTAATGGGAACAAATATGTGCAATAAAAGTTTCAAGAGTATTTTATGAAAAACAATAATTGTTTTGTTCATGACATGTGTATATGATTTTTTTAAGACACTTAAAAAAAAAAATGAAGGTAGTAGTCAAAGATGGTTAATATATTTTTTTTATTTAACTATAAAATAGATTAGTTATATTTTCAAAGTTTTTTTACTTTTTATTTCTGATATGACTAGTTAATGTACTGCATTAATAGTGAAGAGTAAACAGACACATTAAATGTATATACAAATGGAGATATTTTTATCGTAAATTGTTATAAATATTAACTTTTAATGAAATACATTTTTAAATAAAATTAGTATAATTAATTTTTATTATCTAGTTATGTAATTAAAAAATATTAGTTAATTTTTTTATATTAAAATATTTAAATTCAGAGAAAATAATTGTTTGTATAAATATAAGAGTTTTATTGACTAGATTTTTTATTAAGGAATTAATATTTTTAAAAAGTACTAATGTTTCCAGTTCAAATATTTTTTCTTTAAAATTATGATTTTTATTATGAATAATGGAAATCTTTTAAACTAAAATTACTAATGATTTCTTAAAAGTAAGTCATATTAATCCTTTAGGTCCCATGAAAATTTAAATTTTATTATATTTTTGCTATTCATACACTAATCCTTTAGTTGTTTATAAACTATCACACATTATTTTAATATTTAAAATAAAAAAGACTACATTGTATCTAAAAGAAAGTCGTTATTAACATTATAAACCAGCACAAATTGTGAACATTAGTATAATTTACTCATTCCCTAATGAAGATTATTTTCCTTAATGAACATGATAGCCAAAAATAAGATAAATTACTGTTATAGAATTTTGTTTGAAGAGGATTATTGTAATTATAAATAACAATGAAGGGGATGAATGATGAAATATAATTTTTTACACCAACCTTAAATTAAAATTCAATTCAAATTCACGGAAAATGACGGGGAACATGTGCAAGATTCTCTTCCGAAATTTCAAATATAATCGGGTACGACGAAAATCCTGCGTCCCCAGTGAGACGCATAACGTGGACCGTCGATGAGAGGTAAGTTGTAGGGTGAACAATATGATAAGACGAAACCGTATTCTCCCTCCACGACTGTGTTGGTGAGTGATGCGGAGAGCGAAAAATCTTATTGGTTAATTGCCTTGATTTATTCAAGTTTCGCGGCAATGCGTTACTCTCTATCTCTCTCTGCGTAAACCCGACCACTCTCGTTTGCCTCTTCATCTCTCGTGCTTCAGCGGGAATCGGAACCCTACAAGGCGGTGAGTGTGATGACAACATTTCTGCTTTCCGATCTGTAATTTAGGGTTTGAATTCGAAATGGAAAACAAAATTTGCCTATTCTGTTTGTTAATTAGAAGGAATTTGTCCGTTTATGTTCACTCATCGCCGTTTCTATCAACACATTGTTTTGTTTTTTTGTTTTCTTCTTCCGGAAAAACAAGCTGGTTGGAGCCGGTTGTCCGATTCTTAATTTTTTTTTTCTATCGTAAATTTGAATCAGCGTTCCCTTTCATTGCTTAAAAAAAAATGAGGTGCTGACGGTGAAGGTTTGTGTTTTATCGAGACAATTTGAATGTTAAGCTCGTCGTCAATTGCTAAATTCAACGTGATCGTGAGTTCAGCTTGGAGGATGCGGATCTTGGTTGCTAAGTAGTTGTGTTTAGCTTACAACGATTTGAATTTGCTTTCTGACCTGTGAGTTTGGAAAATTTTCAGGTGCATTGTGAATTTACCATATCCCGTTAGTTTGCTGTGGGTATTGATTTTAAAGAATTAACTGATTCTCGACTCTCTCTTGCGGGTGGGTGGGGTAAATAACTGTAATTTCCTTATTTGGTTTGGACTTTACTGTCTTAAATAGTAAGAAGAGCAATATGAGAAACTATCTAAGTGTCTGTCTGTGTGTTTTGACTTTCTTTTTTACTGAAAAATCGGAATGCCTGGTGTGAAGCAGTTGAACTTTTGGCCTCTTATTGTTTTCATTCACTAGTAAGGCAGGGAAGTTAATGTTCATTATTCCACTTTATGACTTGTGGAGGGAAGGGGAATACTGGAGGCCAAAAGAACTTTCACTGATCTAAGCTTCCATATTGATTAAATACTCCATCTGAAGAAGTCTTGTTGTTTCTATTACATTATTGGTTAGTTCATTAGCTGAGTTTGAACTGGGCTAACATTGTTGATTATGGCTTTGTTTTTGGGTTCAAAGACAGAGGGGCTCAATGGCACCGGCAAGGAAATCTAGAAGTGTTAATAAGCGGATTTCAAATTCGAATGATGTTTCTCCGGAGAAAGATGGAGTTAGTTCTAATAAAAACAAGCAACGGGTAAGTCTTGATCTGATGACCTTTTTATTCTTAAACTAGAAACAGTGGGACACATAATTAAAATACAACAATACTGCATCCTGATTGGTATCATATTTTCATAATAGTGTTACAAAAAGGTTAAAGTGGTAGTTCTTGGCTTTTGCTTGAATATAATAGTGGTGTTAGTATTTGTGTATTTCACCAAGTGGTAAACTACATTGCACAGGTACCAATACAAGTATCTGGTAATACTTGATACCCATCGTTTGCTACTTTGTTGATGATTTTGAAGAAAAAAAAAAAAATACTCCAAGATTCAGATTATGCTTTGAAGGAGGGAATCAGAGAGAATAGGACTTGAATTTATATCTTTGACTTTTTGAATAAATTTTTTTAAGGATGATGTGGGTATTAACAAAACATAAATACACACAAAATAGGGCTATGCCAAAAATACATATGCCAATGTATCATATAAGTATTTGATATCGGATATTGATATATAACAAAATTTTGAGTATCCATGTATCATACATGGTGGTTATCGTCCGTCATCATTTGTGCACTGAGCATAAAACGACATTTCATCTATTGTTTTAGCCTCAAAATTTTGAATCCTGGTTAACATGTGTTTATTGCACAGAAGAAAAAGTTGACTGATAAATTGGGATCTCAGTGGAGCAAAGAGGAACTAGAGCGATTTTATGAAGCATATAGAATGTATGGGAAAGACTGGAAGAAGGTGTGCTTTTGTGTGGTCTTATTTTTTGTCCCTACCCTGCTTATTCATTTGGATATTTGAGGACAATTTGGCTTGTTCTTTCCTTTTCCCCTATCATTTTCATAACCACTGTAGCTAGAAATTTTATTGCTGTTCTTATTTATTTGGATTTCCAGGTGGCTGGTGTTGTACGTAATAGATCCACTGAAATGGTAGAAGCTCTTTACAATATGAATCGGGTAAATAAATATTACGATAGTTTAATCTGTAGTCATATTCACGCATCTTATTGTATACACCTACCTTTTGTTTAAGATTCATTTTTTGTGTGCATGCAATTTAACATAACTGAGTTGACTAAACTTTTAGATGATAATATATGTTCAGTTTCTACCCAATGGAACCTAAGTTTTTTGTTCTTCCTCTTATCTTGCCCCATCTTACTACCCTTCTTGTTTTCATATTCACTATTTTCTTAACTGGGATCTTATTGAATATCAAGGTATGGCTGGTAGTTCACCAAATTTAAATGGTATTCCCCCATAAATCTACACATTCCATAGTTGACATGTCTAGGTCCTTGCTTATGTACAATTTCTTACTTCTAGCTATCACGAATTGACTTATTAATGTTGTATAGATATTGTGTTAAGTGTCATTGAAACTACATGTTTGTAATTTACAGGCATACCTCTCTCTGCCTGAGGGCACGGCTTCTGTTGTTGGTCTCATAGCAATGATGACAGATCACTACAATGTGCTGGTATATATGCTTTTGTAATGTTTTTTTTTTTTTTCTAATGTTTTAGAACAATTTGGACAGTTGTAGTTTGTTACAATTGTTCTACTATCCATATGCAATACTCTTCTGCTATATATATATATATATATATATATATATATATATATATATATGGGTTTTGTAAGAGGTTTACTAATTTTTTTAATTTTCTTCATTGATGAATCATATTTTGACAGATTTAATATGGTATTCATAGCTAGTTGTGGGAGGGGGTGGGGTGTTATGCTTTTGTAATGTCTGTCCTTTTATTGTGTCTGAACAACTTGGACAGTTGTAGTTTGTTACAGCTGTTCTGCTACCCATATGTAATACTCCTTTGCTCATAAACCTATATGGGTTCTGTAAGGTTTGCTAAATTTTCTAATATTTTTTAGTAATGAATCATATTTCTTGAAAGATTTAATAAAGTTGGTTCTTGTTTGTAGATTTTTTTTCCCTGGATAAAATTTGCAAACAGAATTTTTTTTTCCCTAAAAGAAGGGGGAAACTATTCTATGGAAAACTAAATCAAAACCCTTTCTAATTATTTGCCATGGTATCCTTTGTTAGATTATAATATTTGGATCTTGTTTTTCCAGCAACCGTCATGATATTACAATTGATATTACCCATGTTATATTATAATATTTTGATCTCTTTATATTTATTGAGATTATATTAATATTTGTGAAAATTGTGTTCTGTGTGTAGTTGCACCTTTTCTCTTTGCCCCTCATGGTATGTTATATTGGCTTTGACTATGCATTTATGAGTTGTCATTTTTTGGACTTGAAATTGACAGGAAGAGAGTGACAGTGAAAGGGAGAGCAATGATGCACCAGGATCTCGGAAATTTGTAAAACGAAAGCGTGAAAAAATTCAGCTTAGTGTGTCTAAAGATCAGTCTCATTCAATTGCATCGAGTGATGGTTGCCTCTCTCTACTGAAGAAGAGACGCTTAGATGGTAAAATACCTATCGTGATACACTCCCTCTGTTCTTTCCTCATGTCTTTCTACATATTGCTTTTATTCCCCCTGACAGAAGTTGTTGTGGTTTAATCCTTGCAATTGGAAAGTAGTAGACTAGTAGATACATAACAAATGGTAACTGCCAAAATTCTATAACCCAAAAACTCTAATAATGATTCTTATGAAAGATTTATTTTGGGGTCTTCGGAGTTTATTTTTAAGCTGGTAGAAGACCAGATTCTAGCTATAAAATTCATCAATGAGTTTTTATACATAATAGGTTATGTTTTAGGAGGGTTGATCTATGACATGTTATCAAAGCCTTTTACAAACCTGTGGTTAAATGTTCAATACTTGCTGCTGTCATTCATCTAAATAATTGAATTTTAGATAATACTTTAAGCGCTTCTTGAACTGCTCCTCCCTTTCCAGTTCATTTCTATTGGTATAAAATGTGCAGGTAGAATATTATCCTATTTCAACATCTTTAAACCTAGATATTGAAATATGAGTAAAATTATTGATTATTCTGAATGTCTTGCCCATATTCTTCGTAATCATAATATGCAAAATATTCTGCTTTAATTGCAATATTAATGATGATTCAGGTATCCTGCCTCATGCGGTTGGTAAAAGGACTCCTCGTGTACCAGTTTCTTATTCTTACAAGAAAGATTATACAGAAAATTATGTTTCACCTTATAGAAGCCTGAAGTCAACTACTGATGCTAATGATGATGAAGTTGCACATGTTGTAGCTTTGGCCTTAACTGAAGCTGCACAAAGAGGAGGTTCTCCTCAAGTTTCTCAATCACCATGTAGAAGAGTAGAGCAAAAACCCTCACCTGTCCAGCGCTGGGAAAGAAAGGTTTTAATTGTTCACGGCATTTTTCTTCCGATATCTTGTATTTGTTGGCTGTATTATTACTTCAAACTGTGCATGTTCAAATAGAATTGAATGGTAATCTTTGTAATTGATATGCTTGTGTTTGATACATTCTCTTTTATAAAATGTAATTATTTTACTATTTGTCAACTAGCAGCAAATGTCAGAGACAGCTCGTGCCAAGTTTCAAAATCTTTCAGTGGATGAAGAGTTTTTGGAAGGTAGTACAGAAAGCAGGGATGCTGAAAATGGAGAATATGCAAGAGATAATAGTTCATTGATGGATGAAGGCACAGGTGCAATTGAATCTCTTCAGAAGGGGGGTAAATTTTATAGAAAGAGAGAGAGAGTGAGAACTGTTGGAAATCATCAGCTTGATGATGGTGGGGAGGCATGTAGTGGCACTGAAGAAGGTCTTAGCTTTAGTTCACTAAAGGAAAAGGTTGATATTGAGGTTACTAATGAAAAGCTTGAAATATTCTCTCCAAAAAATGGGAAGAAAAGAAACAAGAAACTCTTCTTTGGAGGTAATTCTGTCACTACAGTATGCAAATTGTTTGTGCAACTTTTAGTTCCTTTCGCCCCTTAGCCTTGGGTCAAGGTGACGTTGAACTTTCTGTGAAATTGACTTTTCCACATCATCTCTCAACTCACAATAATAAATTACTTACTTTATCCAACAGATGAAACCCCTGCCTTGAATGCATTGCAAACTTTGGCAGATCTGTCTCTAATGATGCCAATATCGACAATGGATTCTGGTAAGTATAAAAGTGATATATTTAATAGTGTAATTGTAAGAGACTTTTGCATGTGTATGTGTGTGCCACTCAGCAATATTCAAACCGGAAAAAAAAGATCCAATTTTTAGTGTTAGGTAGTTTATGTATACCTCTTTTAGACAGAAGCTTAGTATCCTTTTTGTAATCATGCTAATATTCAGTAATTCAGTCATACAGTTTTTTCATTTTAGCCCATCCTCATTGAATGTTATTAATTGCACTTTTAAGTTTAACTTCTCATTTCATACTTCCTCTGTTTCTCTCTTTTGAAAGACTTTTGTTTCTATTTAACTATCAGTTTCAAAGTTCAAGACAACATTAATTTCTCTTATGCTATTTATACCTTTAATTTTCACCAAATTTTGTACTAGATTGTATATATGCATTTATGTGATGTAAAATGAAAAGGGTAAAATCTTATAAATATTTTACTAAGATGAAGAAATTTATTACATTTATTGGTTTTTCCAATAGAACATTAAACGACATTTAAAAAGACACTAAGAAAGTATTTTTTGAGCTGCATTTTTCACTTATTCAACTCAAATGCTCAAACTGGAATTTACTTTTTGGTTCTGCCACCAAATTGTTGCTTTAGTCATTAGTGAGATTTAACAAATAAAATAATTTCTTTATCAGACAAATCTAAAGTCCTTTTAATTAAGTTATTTTCCCCCTTGCCCATCTAGAATCATCTATGCAGTTGAAGGGAGACAGAATAGCTGCTGATAAAGATAATAAGTCTGCTTTACCTGAAGCAACATCAACAAGCCATAAGAGACATAAACTTAAGCAGAGTGTGGTCCCTGAAATTGAGGTTTCAACCTCCAAAAAATCTAAACTTGGAAAGGAATTGACAAAGGATACGAATGCTCTCTCTGAGTCAAAAGAACAACTTCCTTTTGCTGATGCAACTTGGAAAAGAAAGCGGAAGTCTATGGTTTCTAAGGTAAATAAATTTCTGTATGCTTTATTGAATATATTTTATATTGAGTCTGTTTTGGTTTTGCCTAACAAATAATTTTTTTTTTTTTAGAACTGCTTCATGGTCAAGAAAACATTTCTCTTGCAACAACTTGGATTAATAAAATAAAGTTGTTGCACAATTTTTTTATAAACTGAAAGCTCTTTGAATAATGTCAATTTTGAGCCTTAAAACAAGTAGCGTGCTACCACCCTGATCTTGGAATAGTGGTAGGTATCATTCACCTTGCCAGGTGGCAACAAGCATCCTAGACCATTCAAGCAAAAAAATTCTAATGCTTTAGCATTTTGACAAAAATATTGCTGAATGTGATAGTTTGAAATTATTTCAAAATTTTGGAAATTAATGCCATTTTACCCTCAATAAGATTTAATGTGTTAATTAATGAATCCTAAAATACTCATCCTTTTTTATACCAATTATATAAATAAAATAAGAAAACAAATCACAAAATATTAGAAACACGTGAAACAACAACAACAATAACAAAAACCTTATCCTACTAAGTAAGGTTGATTATAAAGACTAATTCTTGTGATATTATTCACAACAGAATTCCTCTGAACTTCCTCCAATGGCCTTCTTGATCTCCCTCTCACCCTTTTAATAAAAATAGAAACCAAACATTCTTTCTACTCTCCTCACCGGTGCTTGTAGTGGCTTACATTACATATCCAGACCATGTTAAGTTTTTTTCTATCATCCTTTCCTCAATAGTGTCTGACCAATTTCTCCTTTTATTCATCATTGTGTATCTTGCTGTCAAACCAATTTCATCCGTCCCTTAACATTCTCATTTATGCCACTCCTACCTTTTTATCTTGTTCCTTTAAAGTTCAACATTTATTATCTAGTATAACTGTATGAATAGCACTACATTAGTGCTTTTGTTTGAGCTTGGTAGGTAGGTACTTTGCGATCACAAATAAATCTTGTTTCCTTTCTTCATTTTTACCCTCTAGTTTGTTTGTTATGTGACATTAATCTTTCCTTCAGTTTGATATTTTGATCTCAGATATTGAACTTTTTAAACTCGGTTACTCTTAAGAAAAAACTATTTGATTCCAAAGTCTGTCTCCAGAGCTCAATTTAAGAGTTATTTGCTTCCCTTGATTCCACAATCAAAACTATATCATATGAAAAATAATGCAGTACTTTCTTAAATATGTGCAAACTAAGAAATTATCTTAAGAAATAATCCTATGATAATTTTAATATATTATGGATATTAGAGATATTCCAACTCTTCCCCTTAAGCTAAAGCTAACTATGCTTGAAGTTTTCTACAAAGATGTGTATGATGTCTGATAGTCTTGCTGTGATGAAATGTTGGCTAAGTTTTCCATGTCTCTTACATGGCCAATCATGTGTATCATACATGAATGATAGTTTGGGTGACATATTTGGTCGTGTTAATGTATTTGATAATAGTTTCTCTTTACCTCCAATTTTATTCCCTTCCAATAAATGCTTGCCTCTGTTACCGCAACTGTAAATTGTCAATTTAATAATAATTATCACAACTCAATAAGTGAGGGAAGGTTTATTTGGCTGTAGGTTGCAAATTCAAAGCTTGAATCTTTTCCAAGTGGTCCCTTGAAAGATGAGGTATGCAAATCTTCATATTTTTATTTTTTTCTGGAAATATATATGCAAATCACTGCAGATTTGAAGCATGTTTTATTGTTATCAGAATTTATTTTTCCCTTTCAAGTGACAGAAGAGTAGCATGAATATTAATATATTATAGGTAGCCTTGTCAGTTTTAGAAAATAGTTTCAGGAATTATGCATTCTATCTGTTTAAGGTTTGCAAATATTAAAATTATGCTTTGATTTAGCTCTGGTATGTTTTAACTTCGCATCAAAATATGGTTGTGTTAGAGGCTGGATAAGAAAAACCCCTGAACTGGGGTAATTTTGCTATATTATTCTTCTATTAATTCTGGTACCAATAGATGCCAGTGCCAAAACAACAGAATTACATAAATGAAAGGTAATACAGGGTGTTTGTGAGACCCTTGCTGGGTTGTACGCTTTTCCTACCTTTTTTCATCTTTCGCCCATGATTTCCTTTTATTACCGTGCATAAATCACTCACTTATTTCATTGTGTAAATCACTTATAGCTAATGCAGGTCAGTCTATCACATTAATTATTGAATCCTACCCCATGCCACTTTCTAATGTAGACCTTATAAGTAGGTTGTTTCCTTGTTTATTCGTTTTATGGGAGTTTTAATTTGTATTTCCTGCCCATGTTTTCAGGGCATAAATGCTTCAGCCCTTCCTGCCCTGAAAGCAAGACATGAGGAATGTTTCATATGTGAATAGTGTTTTATTGTGGGATTTGATAGGAGATCACTTTAGTTACAGGGTCGGTGACAGATGATATGGAATTCTTGATTAAAACACCATCTAAGTTGTCACTTGATAAAAAAATTCAACTCAACTTTTCCCGTTCTTATGTTGCTCAATTTAGTGTATGTCATAAGAACTCTTTGTTCCCATAATTCATTGATTGATAGCCACATTAAGTTTTGTATTATTAGATATGTTCACCTTGTTTATATTAATATAGATACAAATAAACATCATAAGAAATTCATTGGTGTTTCATAGAACATACAAATATTATTGAACATATAATAAGTTCGGTATCATTAGATATGTATCCAATTGTTGTAGAAGGTTATTTTATTGCCTCTGATCCTTAAAGATGCGTTGAACAAATTCATATTGTACTCATCAAAGGTGTGCTTGCCTGCAGGCTTTAGATGATGAGAAAAAACCAGTGGTTAAAGGAAAACATGCTGATCAGGTTTTTACCCTACCAAAGCAATTGAAGACAGTTAAATCATCAGAGAGTTCCTTCTGTAGTGATCAGAAAGATTTGACAATACCAATGGCGGAAGTTCCACTTTTGAATGAAGTTTGTTTACCAACTTATCGGAGTAGACGGAAGATGCTTTTACAGAGAACTTCCAATCCTAAGGAAAAATCTTCTGATTGCATATTGAGAAGTCAACCTAACGAGCACTCTTCCCTTAAGGTACAATATTTTTTTTAATTTAAATTGATTATGTGCTTTTGATTATTTGAGGGGCTTCAAGATTTTTGTTTAAATTATATCTTCCTTTATAACTTGCAGGAAAAGCTTTCTAGTTGTTTGTCATCTAATATGGTTCGCAGATGGTTTATTTTTGAATGGTTTTATAGTGCAATCGATTATCCATGGTTTGCCAAAAGGGAATTGATGGAATACTTAAATCATGTTGGACTAGGGAGTATCCCAAGGTTAACCCGCGTTGAGTGGAGTGTTGTAAGAGGGTATGAGATTTAGTTGTGGTTGCTTGCTCTTCTGCTAAACCTTGTGAACAGTAAAGGATGTATTTGAAATTGCCATACTGTACTTGTTTTTGCAGTTCCCTTGGTAAACCTCGGCGGCTTTCTGACCATTTTCTTCGTGATGAACGGCAAAAACTTGAACAGTATCGGGAATCAGTGAGAAAGCATTATGCTGAACTGCGAACTGGTATTAGGGATGGGCTTCCAACTGATTTAGCTAGACCATTATATGTTGGACAGCGAGTAATTGCTGTTCATCCAAAAACAAGAGAGATTCATGATGGTAGCGTGCTTACCGTTGATTATGACAAGTGCAGGATTCAGTTTGACCGTCCTGAATTAGGCGTTGAGTTTGTAATGGTACTATGATTTCTTATTATCATACTGTTTTTTAAATGTTATAGCCATTCTTCAACATGTAATTTCAATTAGTATGTGGCACATTTGTTTCAGTTTTATTGTGGGGGGAAATTGCTTTTCTTATCCTTTTCCAAAAGCTTTCTTAGGTAGATCCAAAAAATTGATTGTTTCCTTAAAATAAGTTGAACAAACATGCATGCCACACGCTGTACTGTAATATTGTAATAAACAATAAAATAAGCTACCTCGTTTTGTAAAGATCCTGCTATGTAGAGTGTCTAGGGAAAGGTTGGACCCACTATGTGTCTATTGAAGGCAGCTTTGCATTTACAATAGGTTGATTTCAAGACAATGTATAGGTTACATTGTGGTAACTCCAAATGAAGGAAATTGGATTGGTATTTGTAAAATATATAAATGTTCTTCGTGTACCACATGCTGTAATAAAAATGGAAAGGCTTAATATTTTTTCTTCCAGCTAAATTAGCTTGACATTTTTAGCCTGAAAGTGGTTCTATTTTCTTGTTTTTGATCAGTGGATTTTTTTGGTTCAGGACATTGATTGTATGCCTTTCAATCCATTAGATAATATTCCAGAAGCTCTGAGGGGGCACATTGGTGCCGGAAAAAATTCTTTTATGCCTATAGAGCCACAGATTAATGGAAGTTCAAATTTTGGGGGGTGCGAATATCATACCTCTCCTGTGAAGGTACATACTTCCTCAAGTGCTTTATTTTCTTTATAGGCCCTTATGTGCTTTAATGTAATGCATGGAAATGTTAGATTGCTAACAGGTATCAATGTACTAATATTACACCTCAATTTGATGCTTACGCCTTTAGTTTATACATTCATATACTTGACATTTTAACTTATATTTAATTTTATTCAACTTTCTGTCATGTATTGTCACTTCATTCAAGGAGTTTTACTATAATAATTGCTACTTGAAAAGTTCAACATTTAATGATGTCTTAACAGATGATATGATTAGTGTTAAAAATATTTAAGTAAATAGTAGATCAAAATTAAGTGCTGAAATATAAATATTTTTCTGTCCTTTTATTGTAAAATAAGCTTGAGCAGTTAATAGTAGAACTTCATAGCTTTTTCTCTCAGTGATTAATGAAAGTTGTCTCACTATGTCTTTTGACTACTGGACAAACATTCTCTTATATTCCCGTTGTTTTTTGCACTGCTATGGGTAACTGGATGAATTTACCAGCCCAATACTCTTCTCAACATAAAAAATCAGCTAAAGGAATTCATGATGAAGGCGTAGTAGTGTTTATTGAATTTTACATACGTTTTGCTTGTATTGGCAGTCCAGATTTCCTCTAGCACTGGTGAAACTTGATGCTAGAAACATTTGAACAATTATGTGCTGTAAAAGATATTGTTTTTCGTTAAACAATTTGCATGGGTTGTTTACTATGTTGTTTGCTCAGGCAAAGGTTGCTACGATGGATAACTTCTGTGCACAAGCAGGATGTGCTCAACCGTGTAAAGTGACACACCATCAAGCTAAGGAAGCTGATATACATGCACTTACTGAACTAAAGCGGGCTCTAGATAAAAAGGTTTACACTTTTTCATGCAGACAAATTAATATCAATTTGTTATTTTCTACATATATATTGTATTCTTCTATCTCTGTAATTTACGTAGTTCTGGGTGAACTTGCACGTACTTTTCTGGCTGGCTGCTCCTACAGGAGTCACTGTTGATGGAGCTTCGAATTTCAAATAGCCATGTACTTGAAAACCCAAATGGCATAGAATGCTTAAAAGATTCTGAGGTTTTCAAGAAGCATTATGCCACGGTACTGGTAGAGCTAAAGGAAGCCAGTGGGCAGGCATGTGGCTTCCAATGGATTATTCTTTTCATTACAACATTCTGCGTTAATCTTGAAACAAAAAACTGATTGGTTGTAATTTTCAGGTTTCTGATGCTATGTTACAACTGAGGCAGCGCAATACCTACCGAGGAAACTCTCTGCCACCATGGATGAAGCCGCAAGCAAGTTTCAATGTTAATGAGGATCTTCCCAGTATGTTGGAGGGTTCTCTAACACAAGAGTTAGGATCAACTGTTATTCAAATTATTAAAGGATCCAGGCTAAGGGCACATGCAATGGTAGATGCTGCATTTAAGGTATGGACTGTTTATGGATTTCCCCCTCCCCACCCCACCCCACCCCACCCCACCCCACCCACCCCATCCCATCCCATCCATACTTCTGCAGTTATTATTATGAACTATACATTAAATAGTTTTTGTACTTGTTTTCTCCCCACTATTCTTGATCCAGCATTGCATTACTGTTTACAAATTTACAAACAATGATTTGTTGTTGGCTTACTCACATATTTGAAAAGCCATATTGGACAAAAGTCAGATGTAATGTTTGCTCTAGACTGTTGTGAAACATGTTACACTACAGAGCATTATTCAAGTATTTTATCAAGCTCTAACCTTTGAGAGAACTTTTGGCCCTTTTCGATGTTATACTTCAGGCATTGTCTTTGACAAAGGGAGGTGAAGATGCATTCGTCAAGATTGGGCAAGCATTGGATTCTATTAATCATCCGCAGTTGCCCTCCAAGTCTAGGTTACCTGTGATCAGGTCACAAGAGCAAGTAAATGCAAATGGCAGTTTATATCATCTTAATCATTCAACTTGCAGTGTATCAGAGTCTATACGTAATGATCCATCTGGTCCAAAACTACATAATTATTCTGACAAATTAGATACTGAACTTCCGTCAGATCTTATCACTTCATGTGTTGCTACATTAATCATGATTCAGGTAATGAGTTCCTGGTTATACTCTTTAAGTTCTGACGACAAATTCACGATTGCACATCAAGCATTTGTGTCTGCTGCACCTTGCCTTTCAACTAACTAATAGATGTTTATAATAACGTTTTACCACCCTCCATATTTAGAAGGGAAACATTGGTTTTCTATCATTGGAAACTCATAATAATAAATCTGTTCCACTGTCCTGTGGCCTGGATTTGTTTTGACTTGGGAAATACGACTAAAATACTACGTTTATGTTTTTTGTCATTATAATTTGAGTTTTGTATTCTATGCCCTGATTATTCTGTATATATCACTGTAGCACGTTGTCAGAAATATACTCTTTTTATTATTCAAAAGATTTGAAGCTTATTGAACAAATGTTGCTAACCAAAAATAAATGGTCTTTGGAGTTGCAGACTTGTACTGAACGGCAATACCCTCCAGCTGATGTGGCTCAGATATTAGATTCTGCCGTTAGAAGCCTGCATCCAAGCTGTCCTCAAAACCTTCCTATTTATAGAGAAATTCAAATGTGCATGGGAAGAATCAAAACACAGATTTTAGCTCTCATCCCTACATGATTTGTGTCATATGTAGTTGTTGTGTACATATGATGCTGAAGTATTATAGTTCAGATCACATACGGGCTCCTCGCCCACTCTGTCATGTGTCTTTTTGTTGAGAGGTACAAACAATTTCTTTTACTCCACACCAATACCACCCTCGAACAGTGGTATTAGAAATCATGTCATTAATCTTTCCTGTCTAATGCTGCTACTTAATAAAAAATTCAATAAATAATATTATTTAATATTTTCAACTTTCAAACAAAACTAATTCATAAAACCACTAAATGTTTGTTTTCTCTCGTATCTCTTTTCGGGGAACATCTTAATTAAGAGATAGAAAAGCTGATCAAGCTTCGGTTAGTTCATAATTGGTTCTATTTCATAGCTGTGAAAAAATATTATAAAATCTTTTATTTGCAGTGGAGGATAAAATAATTCTTCGGTTGTCAATATAGAGTACTCTTGGGTTATATATATATATATATATATGGAGTTTTGCCCATTGTAACCTGTAGATTATGTTCAGAAATCATTTTCATTGTGATTAGTAACCTAATCATGTATCAAAATTACTTTATTTTCTACTATGTTATACTAGAATATTTTTGTACAAGTTTTTTCACGATATAAACCTTTGATTATCATATTTAATTAGAGGAAGACTTTCTGGACTATCTTTTAGCTGTGGGCCAACTTATCTTTTTATTCAAAACTTGGCTACAATATTATAAATAAATAAAAATATACGTTACTTTAAACACCTCATTAGTACTTGTAATTTTTCTTTGCTTCTATCCAAGTAACCACACTTATCTTTCTTTATCTCTAACACGTTGTTGGTAAAGAAGATGGGTGAACATGGGATGGCTGGAATTAATGTGATGAAGAAGAAAACATTTTGAAAGTTGTGACACTCATTATGTTATTTATCTCCTATTTCTATTCATCTTTATCTCACTTCATTTTTATTTATTTTTAACTAAACACCTTTAATATTTTATTATTATTATTATTCAACCTATTGCTCATTTTTATACTAAACAAAGTATCATTTCCGACTAATATGATGTCTTTTTGGAATTTAAATAACTTGTGTTCAATCCACGAACTTACCGAACCCAATCCATATTTTGTAGTTTGAGTTTTTTTGTTGGTTAAGTTTTTCTAGTCTATCCACTTAGAATTGGATTTGGAAATAAGTTGATGAATTTTAAATCTGACCTAACCTAACTACATAAATAATATAACAAAATTACTAATAATCTAATAATTTTACTATAAAAAAATATTTTATATGTTATCATATAAATATTATTATGAATAATGTGAGAAATATTTTATATTATGTGTTGGTAATTTTCAAAGATTTAGCAAAAGATCATAATTACTACATTGATGTGCTAATCTTTAATTTAAGGAATTAAAAAGTATTGAATTTTTATATTTTGAGGATATTTTATTAAGAAGTGGCTACTTATTTTAACCACTTAATCCAATTAAGTTTAATTAGACTGAGTTAAAACTAAACTGAATTCAATTAACTCAGATTATTATATACATAATAATTATAATGTTGTTTTTTCAATAATTCTTTTTTATAAATTTTAGAGGATCATAAAATATTTTTTACAATAGCTTATATACACTTGTTTTTCGTGTGTAAATATACACATATCATTATTAGGAAATTTAACAGTTAAGGAAATAAGATTTGTAACCATGAAATATTCATCATGTTTCAAATTATCACTAAATAATTTCTTAAGTTTCTTTCTGCAAAAATTTTCAGATAAGAAGAAAAATATACATAAAAACATTAAATTGACTTCCCTATAAAGTACAAGATAAAAATACAAAATTTAAGAAACTATATGAAAAAATTCTAAAAATTAATATATATATATATATATATATATATATATATATATATAAACTAATTATAACTTATACAAAGATTAATTTCATTTATTTATTTTATAAAAATTCTTATGGAATATTCTGAAAATCACGAAGAACGCATTTTTAAATGTTTCTAGCAGCCATAGGCGATGCCTATATTGTTATTTGGTGAAAGATTATTTTTACCATTTGGAATATTTTGGTCCCACCGGAAAAACTGTTGAAACTCTGTGATATTGGAGATGAGCTAAGGATTTGGACAGCCATTGTAGTGAAGGCCCTTTTTACAATTATTTATGGAGGTGGTGACAAAGTTGAAGAAAAATAAAATTATGGATATGGTTAATACACTTAATAATGAGCTTTTGGCTAGATATAAAAAACAAACCAATATTGTATGTTTTTCTGAAGTTGATCTATTTCTTGTTGATCAAGCTTGATATCATCACCCACTTCACTTCAGAAAGAACCATTAAGAATGAGAATTTTCATTTATGGGACTCAATTATTAAACGATGAGACAATAGAAGTTAACAACTAATCAGAGACCATCATGTTTTTCATCTTCGATTATTTGTAAAGACAATTCACGGAGTAAAAACTTCAATAGTACAGCGGCGGCGACAACAACAAGCTCCGCTTGCTAGAGCAGCCACCGGAAAGTTTCTCCGTCAAGTTTGTGGCTGAGCTCGCACATTAACTGGAAGACCCTGGCCGTGCATGGCGGCGGCATCTGGATTCAGCGCCGCTGCCCCTGCCCCTGGGCCATGGTGCGTGGGTGCTTGCTTGGTCGAGCTTTCTAGTCTCTTTTTACATCACCCATTTAATTTTTGCAAATGTTGTTGACACTAGTGGTTCATTCGGGTCACAATGAATCAATTCAAGCAAGTCCAATGCAGCGACTGCAAATTTATGACATAAAACTAAACCAACCATACTTGGTTCCCTCGTCGCTTGTATTTCCCCGCATTCATCTCTCTCATTCTCTGCTCCATGTCACCTCCATCCACTTCGGAAGAGAATATTATGAAATAGGTTTTAAACCTTACCAGAAATCTTAAAATGGATAATCAGAATAGTTGAATACTAATTCCGATGGTGTATTCTGAAATTTATCTTGGATTGAATCAATCTTTTAGAATGCGTAATTAGAAAATCTTTACTACATTCCTGATATTTTTTTTAAATATAAAATTTTTGAAAAGATATTTTCAAAACTAAGTAGGAAATTATAGAAGTGAAAAAACAATTGCCTAGTTTCAATGACCAACTCATATCCATCAGAAATGGCACAAAAATAGAAGTCCTAGTGTGCAAAATACAAATAAAGAATAATTCAACTTTGAATCCAAATATACCACTGTAGCTTAAGAGAATTTATTAAGAGAATGACTTGAGGGAGAAAAGCATGAATTTGAGAAACAAGAAAAATTAAGATATAACTGTATTTTACTTAATTAAACTTTGATAGATAAATTGAATATTTACTTAATAAAAGTATCTAGTGGATTAATTTTTTTAAGAAGTATTAATGAATCAAATACAGATTAACATGTCCTATCCATTTGGCAGGCAAGTTGCATATAAGACAAGTTCATTAAAATGCAAGCATAGCAACATGAAGTGATAAACTCAGCAGTCATAATCAAAATCTAGAATCATAATTGAACCGAAAACACCTTTTACTTACAACCAGTCTTTTCTTTTATCCTCCTTGATTTCTGATAGCACAGGACACAAACAAAGCATTTGTGCCGGCACAAAGGAGAAAATCATGACAAGGTCAAGTTGTTAAAAGGATAAATAACTAATGCCTCAATTTACAGACTTTTCTCTCAACAATTTCTATTCTATATATAAAACCAAGCGGGACACAGCTTAAAGTGCCCGTATAACCAAAGACCTAAAAATAAGCAAATAACGATGGCAAGGGCATCAATAACTCAGATTAAGTAAATAGTTTTCATAGAACAAGTCCTTTCCAGGGGTACCACTGCAATTTCATTTATGCAAAAATGATAGCCATATCACCCAAACTAGCAGCATAACAAGAATCTGAAGATGTCACCAATGGAAATGATACCTTCCACACGCCCGGTACCCGCCTCCACAACAACAAGTCTTCTAACACCTGTAAAGAGAAGGAAATTGGTGGACGAAGAAGACATTTATTGTTTTTTTCTTTTTTCTGGCCCACTCCTCTCGTGAGAAAGGGGGAGGGGATTGTTAGTGTAGAAGAAATACCAGGGTGTGCCAATCGCTCCATCACTTTGTGCAATGAATCAGATCTCAAACACATATGACATCTCGGGCCATTCCGAAGCCCGCAAGGAAAGCCTGCATCTCGTCCCAAAAGCAATGCCTACAATACAACCATAAAGCGCAATTTAGAAGTTGATGATACGACTATTTTTAGTCAGCATTTGTATGTTGAACGATTTGAAAAGGAAAAAAATTATAGAAACTAAATTGAAAAGAGCGAAACCATAGGGATTATAATTTTATTTAACCTAAAGATCATAATATGCTGCCCAGTCCCCGCTGTGATCAAATTTTACATGAATAAAACCCTGCATGAGTACCAAACAAAACAAGTTGCATCTACTCTACAATGGTACATGCTGCAGTGAAGATATAACTACAGCTCTCTATATATGAGCATGCAATATTTGTATTCTGTTATATCGTGCACCACGGAATGGCTCTCTACCAGAAAAGGGGGAGGGAAAGAATAGTTAAGGTAATGAGCTATATATGACTTCCATTTGTATAAATATATGGATGGTGAGCTCAATGTTTATACTATGGGATATATGCAGGGTACGAGTGAAGATGGGAGGAACGAAACAAGAGTGAAGATTTATGAAGGACGTAGACACAATATAATCCCCGCTCATTGTCTTTTGCCCATTTTCATCACCAAACAAGCACAATCTAAATTAAGCCAAAGGTTGAGTCCACCCTGTTTAAGGTGAACCTAAATCTAAGTATATTTTCAATATAAGAATGCTCAACTAATCAATTTTCACGCTGACCCAGTCTCAGGTTCAACTAGAAGTGGCATATTGCTATTAAATAGTTCAGGTTCAAATACCACAAAACATGGTGCAACTAATGATTAGGAGGAAGAAACAAAATCAAATAAGAAGCACATTTCACTAAAACATGGGGGTCAGGAATGATTGACTTTTAGTTGTAGAAGACTAAAGGCTGCAGTGCCCTTTGCATATAAACAGTTGAATCATCAAAACAAAATACTACATATTAATTAGCTTTTCATTACAAGAAAAATACAATAATCCAGGACAAGTGATCAAGACAGAGTCCCACGAATTAAGAGGAGAGGAGTTACCTGATGGATACTAAACCCATCCAGATTTATCCTTGCATACAATTCATCTCTAACCAATTCAAGAATATCGCTGAAAAAGTATCAAAATACATCACATAGACACATATCCTTAAAGAACATCTCATCCTTTTTAAGTGTAAAAAATGAGAATCGCACATGTGGATACATGAGAAAAAGTAGAATTTCTACCTTCTTGAATATATATCAAGTAATGAATAATTAATATCCACAATTGGTATCGAGCTAACTCCAGCTGCAAAGGACAGCAAGCATAAGATACCACAAGATATAGAATAATTAATATGGGCATATTTTGCTTCTTAAATGAATACCACTATTATATTAAAACCAAGAATTATGAAGTTGTCAGTTCCCATTGCAAGGGGGAAATTATTCACGTACCAGAGAATGAAACACTCCAAATTTGAAAATACCGAGGTAGAAATAGTATATCATTTTCTTTGTAAGCTGAATTAACAAAAGCATATAATTGATCGTATATGGACAATTGTTTCTTTAGGTTCAGACATTCAGTGCATAATGGTGCACCAAATGTACCTATCCAAAATTTTATCCTTCCTTTTCTGTTCGCTTCCTTGAGTGACACATTTTTTACATATAACTTATAGGAGACTTGACCAACGCGTTGAAAGAGAAGAATGGTCACCTTGAATCAACAGAGACAGAGCTTCACCAAGAGAAGCATGTGGCCATAGCATAGCAAGTGGCTGTTTATTGGACTCCCCCAATTTTGACACCCATGTACCTACAGGTATCGAACTAATTGGTAGCTGAAGAATGGGCAAGGAATCAGAAAAATGCTTAAAATGCCTGCATATACCTGAAAAGTAAGTCCATACATTAGTTCCAAACACTTATGCTTAGCCAATAAATCTAGAAGCTTACATTTTAGTATTTCTGATAGGGAAGCAAGGTGTAGCAGCTGAGGAAATAAACCATCCTCTGAAGAATGGATAATTGGAACCGTTGCCACCTTGTTTTGCAAAATTTTTAAGGCAACATCTTTTAGACAGTCAGGAGGCCCAGCCTACAGAATAAATAGAAACATAGCATCAAATAGTACTATACAAACATAAAAGATAACATGAAATCAAAATCAGCAGGAAGTACATGGCTAACAAGCAACCTCTTCAAGATATAATGTTGAAATCACATTTCATCTATCTATCTCGATCTATGAATATAATTGAAATCAATCTTGGTGTGGAATCCCTGATTAATTCCCTATTCCCAAATCATACAACCATTTGAACTTTCCTAAAAGTTAACAATATCACAAATATATGAAATTGGAAAATTAATTTGACATGTGGCATATTTCTCACAACTGCTCAGGAGCACTTACATGAACTAAATGTCGAGGGTATGTTCTCCTATTACTATCAGTTACACATTCTTGTAACTTTGCCTCTCTCCATGCTCCTATAGTATGTGTCTCAAGTTGTTCTTCAGTCATGTTTGATCCATGAGTCCACAACTGAAATTAAGCATATTAGATGAGCCAAAGAAATTACAGAAACGTGCTATGAATTTCTCCATAAGAGTGCCAACAAATCAAACATGTTGAAATAGAGGGTATTTTGGAGAAAAAATTATGTATGGGCTGCACACTTGATCTTATTTACAGCTTGATCACAATCAATTGATGAAGAAATGAAAAAGTTAATCATTAACCTACTCACTACTAGCTAATAATCATTTCAGTTGAGTACATATTATAACAATTTCCCCTGAGCTGAAACATAATAAGCTCTCAGCTCGTTACAAATAAAATCAACATAGACAAAACCAGCCTACCAAACCTTAGTACTAAACAATGCATGCAAGCAAAACCGAACAAAGTAGATTCAAGACAAGCCAGCAGCAAAACATAGTGAACACATGTCTAAACAGAATAAGCCACAGTGGATACATGCTTCCAAACAGCCCCCATTAACTGGAGCACTGGGGTAGATTAGACAAGAATAGGGCCAGTAACCATCTTTCCTTCACATGCCACCAGGGCAAGACATGACAGATTCCATAGATTTGCTCATGAGGGCTTGTTAGAAGAAACCCAATCAGAGCAATCAGAAAATGGAAAATCATTCTGGACAGGTATACACTCTAATAACTTCTAGGTTCGTAGATATGCAGCTCTGGGTACTCAAAAGTTGATGGCAAACCTTCCAGTGACTAAACAAAGCACACCATTTGTATAGATTAAAAAAAGACACCATCTATAAAGCCTCCACAGGGGTATAATAGATGAAGATTTTATGGGAGTAATTAGGGTTTTCTTAGTCATCGAAAATAGCAAATAGGATAGAACAGCAGCCAGAATGCAGGCCAGAATATCTAATGGAAAATTGCTGGAACAAGGACAATGAGAAGGAGAGGGAAAAAAATAAAGGGTTGAATGTGACTGTGAACAAAACTACTGTAAAAGAGAGGGCATCGCTCAAAGGATGATTCAGCTCCAATACCATGTTAAATTAAACATTTAGGGAGAAAATAAGGTTTTGTTGGTCATCAACAGTGACAAGATAGGATAGAACAGAAGCAAGAACATAAATATTGCTGCTGCAACAAGGACACAGGGAGTAGAGGAGAAAAAAATAAAAGCTCCAGAAAAACAAAGCATCAAGGGAATCCAGCAGGCACAGACTCAATGTTCTCCTTGAAAAAATTCACTAAAATATATAATGAGACTACATAGTCTTATGTGAATCAGTTTCATAAATGATAGGTAATTAGGCCAAAACGATGTTTACAGGTTTACTATTGATGACAAAAATACAATTAAAATTTGCAACATTAATGTATTCCATAAATAAACCAAAAGGATAGATAAAGTATCATCACGTTCCTTGTAATTTCTTTCAACATCACAATAATCTAGGCAATGTCATATACATTTTGGAAATTTCATTTTTTGTCATTATTTCCCATTTTGCAAGTTTTCATTACTTATACTGGAATCTGACAGGATATTTTGTTCCTCACAAACCTCTTTTAGTATTAGAATGAAGTCCATAGAACTAAGCATTCCAACAAACTGGCACTTCGTAGAATCCCATACAGGAGCTATAGATATTCCCTGAAAAAGCAGATAAACATAATCGATGAGTGTGGGTGTGCTCTCTGATGTGAAAAGAAAGATAAACACCTGTTATGAGGGGAAGAAAAAACATACCTCTTGATAGAGGGCATGAAATGCTTGCTTAACTGGTAAAGTTATATCCAAGGCAACAACCTGAAATTGTAATAAAATCAAATCTAAAGCAAAGATTCACATAAGAACAGATAAGCTATTATTGGATGGTCAGTTGGACACATTAAAAGATTAAGAGAGAAGACGTATTCAAACCTTGCCTGACTCGGGAAGCAACTCATAAGCAGTAAGTGTAGACAAGAAAATAGATATACGATGTCGTGAGACCTGTAGATCAGACTCTGACATCCTTGGATTAGCTTCCTGAAAAAGTTTCAAAGTCAAGGTAGCTTCTTTTTGTGTAACATAATTTCAAGACAAAAAGGATTATGGAACCAAACTAATTCTGAGACCATTTTAAGAAATAGAATACATAGATTTTTTTTCTTTCTTTCAAATCAAATATTAATGCTTAAAAGATTCAAGAATTTCCAGTATCATTTTTTCTTTATTTAGAAGTAAAAGAGGAAATATTATAGGAGGAAAGAAAGAGAGTACACACACCAGACGAGAGTACAAGTTAACCACATCCTATATAACAAAGAAACAAGCAAAAGACAATCAAAACTATCGATAGAATAAGTTTCTGCAACCCTTTCGTACATATGTTATAAAAACTCGGTTAAATAGATTATAGGTTATCCAAAAGAGCGGCTACAAAAATGACAGGCTGAGAAGAGATTCTTGAACATACAACATATCTCTCCAGCCAAACATGCCTTAAGGCAGTGTCACCATAGAGACTTTCCCTCCTTAGTCTAGAAAAGCTTTTGAAGAAAAATAAAAGAAATTGTTTCACTAAATGGGCAAGGGAATGTCCACAAAACTTCTCCCTCACTGAAGAAAATTCCTTAAGGGGGAATCAGGTAAACACATTTGACCTAGAAAATTAGTAAAACAATCTTTTAAGAATCAGTTTCTTCTAATGATTTGTCACTGGTAAGAGGAACTAGTCCGCCATATATTATTTGTTCCAAAAACTTAAGCTATTAAGTCAATGCTTAAGATTGGCCACATACAGTGCAGAATGAAACTCATTACCTAGATTTCCTTAGTCTTAATATGTTTTATAGCTTTTTACTGCTACACATACTCCCTTTCCCTAGTGCCTTTTGAGCATGAAATGCTGACATGCATCAGCCTACTCTACTGTTTGCTTACATTTAACTTTTTATATTGAAAAGTGAGGGTGTGGAGGATTGAAATCCTAACCACTTGCCATGACTCATAAGAAGCTTTGATACTGTTAGATATTGTTTAGATATTATTTTATATTGTTAAGATATTGTTAGATATTGGTAACCACAATATCAAACAATATCTTCTGTTTATTCTGTTACTTTCAGTTATTCTTTTAGTTGTATCTCTCTACTATAAATAGACCACCCTATGTGTGATTTATACACAAGGGAAATTAATTTCAAACCCTATTTTCTCTATATTCAACATGGTATCTAGAGCTTAAGGTTATCTTGAAATTTTTTTTTCCGCCTTTTGTCCACTGTTGGAGCCGCCCCACCGCTGCTAGAGCCGCCCCACCACTGCTGGTAAACTGATCCTCCACATCAGAAAAGAATTATCTTTGTCATTGAATTTTATTTGGTAGTGTGAAAGTGCATGTTTAGGAAAGTTCTGTCAAGGAAAGACTTGGTATTTAAGTGTGTCCATTAGTGACCCACCTCTCTTTCCTGGGAACTTACCTAGTGTACTAGTTCACGTTACTGTCACCGCTGCCGCTGGAGCAGTCACCGGGTCCACCGTTGTCGGAGAATTCGCCGGAGTTTCATTTTTTTTTACCGGTGACATATGATTTTGCTTGTCTCGGTCAGGTGACCACCGTGCCATTGAGATGACCACTATCGGAGTTGGTCGTCCCATTGTCTCCTGCACCGTTTAGTCTTGGCGAACTTATTTTTAGTATTCTCATTTTGGATTTGTGCTTCGTGGGTTAATTGGATTACTTTGGATTGTTTTAGGGTTTGTTCTCCCGCTCTTCATGACTTCTTCCACTATTTCCAATTTTGTTAACGATTCTTTTGTGTTGACATCCCATCGTGATGACCGAGCTCGCCCTCGCAAACAGGAAAAAGGGCGTCCTAAGTGTGAACATTGTGGCAAACTAGGTCACAAGATTAACAAGTGTTATACATTACATGGTCGTCCTCCTCAGTCTGCTGTAGTTGTTCAGACCAATCTTTCCCCACCTTTATCTGCAGGGGATCTTCCTTCTTCTGTTGCATCCGAGCATGTCCGCTATGTTCAACAAATTTCTCGAATGGTATAAGGATCAACAGTCTTCTAGTTCCACTATATCCGTCACACATACAAATACATATTTTCGTTGGTCCGACCCAATCATTTTCTCCTGGTCCTTGGGTTTTTGATTCGAGAGCCACCGATCATATTACTCGGTAACAAATCTTTGTTCTCCTCTTTATCCTCTCCTAATCATTTACCTTCGTTACACTTGGTCGATGGCTCTAGAGTATCATCTCATGGGGTTGGAACGGTTAAACTTTTTCCTTCTTTAACCATTGATAATGTTCCTTATGTCCCTGGGTCTCCTTTTAACCTGTTGTCCATCAGTCGTCTAACTCGTTCTCTTGATTGTGTTGTTACTTTTACCAACAATTTTGTGTGTTTACGGGACCGGAGTTCGAAACGGATGATTGGCACAGGATGTGAGTCTCATGGTCTTTATTATCTTCGTCCCTCTACACATGTTAGTACAGTTATGGAGTCTCCCTCTCTTCTTCATGCTCAGTTAGGTCATCCAAGTCTTGCCAAGTTACAGAAACTTGTCCCTGTCTTGTCTAACTTATCTAGTTTGGCGTGTGAGTCATGTCAATTAGGCAAGCATAGTCGTACTTCCTTTCCTCGTAGTTTCACACGTGGTGCTTCATCCCCTTTTGCCGTGGTTTACTCTGACATTTGGGGACCTAGCCGCGTTAAGTCTACTTTAGGTTTTCAATACTTTGTTACTTTCATTGATGATTATTCCAGATGCACTTGGTTATTTTTGATGAAAAATCGTTCTAAATTATTTCATATCTTTCAAACTTTTTTTAATGAAATTCAAACTCAGTTCGGTGTTTCTATTAGAGTTTTGCGTAGTGATAATGACCGTGAATATCTTTCTCATTCTTTTAAACAATTCATGGCTTCTCACGGTATTTTGCATCAAACTTCTTGTGCTTATACACCTCAACAAAATGGTGTAGCTGAACGTAAAAATAGACATCTTATTGAAACAACTCGCACACTTTTAATTCATGGAGATGTTCCTCAACATTTTTGGGGTGATGCTCTTCTTACTGCATGTTATCTCATTAATCGCATGCCTTCTTCGGTTTTAGATAATAAAATACCTCATTCCATTTTATTCCCTCATGAACCACTTCATCCTTTACCTCTCGAAAGTTTTCGAGTCTACATGTTTTGTTCATAATTTCGGTTCCAGTGCTGGACAAGCTTTCTCCTAGATCACATAAATGTGTTTTCTTAGGGTTTACAAAATCACAGAAAGGATACAAATGTTTTTCTCCTTCTCTTAACCGTTATTTTGTGTCAAAAGATGTCACCTTTGATGAGTTGTCTTTTATTTTAAAAGTCAAACTTCACCTCTGTCTCCATCCAATCTTGTCAACACTCCTAATGCATTTAATGTTCCTGTTGTTTGTGACCCTCTAACTGTGTCTTCTTCACCATTAGTTCCTGCTCCGCAGTTAGCTTCTTCTCCACTTGCCTCTTCGATTTATAGTTCTCGAAACCAATCACAATCACCACCATGTGACTCTACTCAAGTGTCAACTACTCTGTCTCCTCCGGATTTGACACATGAGTCCGACCTTCCCATTGCCCTCCGAAAAGGTATTCGTTCTACACGTAATCCCTCTCCCCATTATATTGCTTTGAGTTATCATCGATTGTCATTACCTTTTTATACATGTCTTTCCTTTATTTCTTCCGTGACCATTCCAAAAGCCGTACGTGAAGCTTTAGCCCATCTTGGTTGGCGTCAGGCCATGTTAGATGAACTAAGTGTTCTTCATAATAGTGGAACTTGGGAATTGGTCCCGTTACCGTCTGGGAAATCATGTTGTCGGTTGCGGGTGGGTGTTTGCTATCAAAGTTGGACCTGATGGTACTATTGATCGCCTCAAAGCTCGTCTTGTGGCCAAAGGATATACTCAAAATTTTGGGTTGGATTATGGAGATACCTTTTCCCTCGTGGCAAAGATGGCTTACGTTCGTTTATTTATCGCCATGGCTGCTCTTCAACAATGGTCTCTTTATCAACTTGGATGTTAAAAATGTTTTCCTCAATGGTGATTTGCAAGAAGAAATATATATGGAGCAACCTCCTGGGTTTATTGCTCGGGGGAGTCTTCCGGGATGGTGTGTCGTCTTCGCAAATCCCTATATGGCCTAAAACAGTCTCCTAGGGATTGGTTTGGAAAGTTTAGCAAGGTTGTTCAACAATTTGGTATGACTCGGTGTGAATCGGATCATTTTGTCTTTTATCGACACTCGAGTGCTTGGATGTGTTTACTTGATAGTATATGTTGATAACATTGTTCTTACGGGTAGTGACAACCATGACATTTCTCGGTTGAAACAACATCTCTGTCACCATTTTCGGACCAAAGATCTTGGCAAACTTAGATATTTCTTGGGTATTGAGGTAGCACGGTCCAATGATGGTATTGTTATATCTCGGAGGAAGTATGCCATAGATATTTTGGAGGAAGCTGGGTTGATGAGTTCAAAGTCTGTTGATACACCCATGGATCCCAATACTAAACTTCTACCAAATCGGGGGAGCCTATATCCGATCCTGAGCGAGTATAGAAGATTGGTTGGAAAATTGAATTATCTTACGGTTACTCGTCCCGACATTTCCTTTGCGATCGGTGTGGTAAGTCAATTTCTTAATTCACCATGTGAAGATCATTGGAATGCGGTCATTCGTATCTTGAAGTATATTAAAGGATCTCCTAGAAAAGGATTGTTATATGGTTCTAATAACCATACAAGAGTTGTTTGCTACTCGGATGTCGATTGGGCGGGATCTCCTTCGGATAGAAGATCTACATCCGGATATTGTGTCTCCATTGGTGGTAACTTGATTTCATGGAAAAGTAAGAAACAAAATGTTGTGGCAAGATCCGGTGCGAAGCGGAATATAGAGCTATGACCTCGGCTTCCTGTGAACTTGTTTGACTCAAGCAATTGCTTAGAGAGTTACAATTTGGAGATGTCACTCAAATGACACTTGTGTGTGACAATCGAGTCGTTCTTCATATTAGTTCTAATCCTGTCTTTCATGAGAGGACCAAACACATTGAGATTGACTTGTCATTTTATTCGAGAAAAGATTATGTCCGGAGATATCAAGACCGAGTTTGTTAACTCAAGTGATCGGTTAGCGAGATATTTTTACTAAATCTTTACGGGGTCCTAGAATTGATTATATTTGTAACAAGCTTGGCACATACGATTTGTATGCTCCAGCTTGAGGGGGAGTGTTAGATATTGTTTAGATATTATTTTATATTGTTAAGATATTGTTAGATATTGGTAACCACAATATCAAACAATATCTTCTGTTTATTCTGTTACTTTCAGTTACTCTTTTAGTTGTATCTCTCTACTATAAATAGACCACCCTATGTGTGATTTATACACAAGGGAAATTAATTCCAAACCCTATTTTCTCTATATTCAACAGATACCATGTCAAATACCAATTATCGCAAAAGCTTATGAAAGATAAAGGCTCAAGATTGGTTTTATATCATCATAGAAGGAAAAGAAGTCACCTTAAAAGTAAATAAATCTTTATTATTTCTTCTAACCAATAGGTATAGGTGATTATCAACTTAAATTCTAACTTTGGTAATTTAATGAAATGGGATTTACTATTGCCATGAACCTGGTTGCAACAAATTATCATGACCCTAGTTGCAACAACTATCACATATATTGTTGTATGAGTAAGCTCAAAATTCCTCTCAACTTCCAGGTGATCAAGCGGAGAAGAGTCTTGCATTTTTTTGGGTGGATTTGGGAAATGTGAGAATAGTCATCAATTTATATTTTAAAATTTTACTTTACACCACATTAGCATCTTCTTTTCTTACATCAAAGTCAGAAATGTTTACTACATAGTCAGTTTCACAGATGATAAAAATGGTCAAGTAGGACTAAAATGCATGCATGCTACATTTATGTTAACAAAAAGAAATATACTTTAAGCATAACGATAATTATAATTGTCATTCGCCTGTAATAGTTTAGTTTCTCTAGAATACTATCCAAGCAGATTTATACATGGAACAGTACAAGGGGATAAAGATAGTCAGGGAGAAAAAAATTACCACATGGCCAACGATGTCAACCTCCATGTGGGATCGACCAGGTGTTTCAGCACTTAAGGTAGGAGGCAAAATAACTGGTTGTCTCACTAAATAAAAAGTATTCACTATCCCACAGTCCCCACAGACAAATGGCTGATGCTCATCATGCCGCCACTCACCATCAACATTAAATTTGTACTGCACATAAGCCAAAACGATGTTATAACATGCTTTCCATATTATAGTTTTTCCATAAATATCAGATAATGTGCAAGGCACGTGAATTATATTAAACAAAAATAGCAACAAATTAGTGATTCTTATAGACAAGAATGTAAAAAGCAGCAAAGAAAAAATTAAAACAAAAGCTACAAGTTTTGTCATCATGTGGAAGAAATATCTCAGCAGTTAGCATATAACAAAATGTATTCATACCAAATATGTAATTAGTTAAATTTTTAATCCTGTTCAAATTATAAGAACCAAATCTACTAAATGTCTTGTTGAAAATATAGGGTTTAAGGTATTAAGGGAGGAAATTAGGAGAATGGGGTTTTGAATGAAATTCTCGAATATTGTGTGTTCAATATTTTTACAAAGCACAAAGCGCTGGCCCTTGTTTATACTATTACTATATCATAATCCTAAGACTAAATAAAGAAAACGGAAACTAATTCAAAGAGTTTATCAAAGATACTCTTAATTCTTCTTAGATAAATCAAGATACAATTGATATTTTTTATCTATTATTCCCCCTCCAGTTAAAGCTCAGTGAGGTTAATAATCCAAGGCTTATTGGATATTTTCATATATTCTTACACTCTGACCCAAGTTTAAGCTTGTAAGCTTTATGCGTGTTAAAAAGAACTCTTCCAATAGAATAGGGGCTCTAACAAACATAGCTGGAATGATCATCATCCTAGAGAGTTATCTTGAATGTTGCATGATCAGGGCATAGGAGAAATCACCATCAGGATGATTCAGTTGGAGGCTGGTATGAATCAATCAGTTTATCACTAACTCAACTCTACACGACTCATTGGTACAGCTAAGTTATCCAAATTATCATCAGTGAAAATAAAACATTATGACAAACATCAGATAGTTTGGGACAGAGACAGGGTGAGACTACTTGGGACGGAAGAGCAAGAGCTTCTGGGACAGAGACTAGCAAGGTCAGACCATGTCCAGGACAAAAACTGTGGTGAGATCACATCTGAAGCAAAAACTGACGATGGCCAAACCATGTCTAGGACTAACAATGAGGTTCGAATGCATCTCAGACAAAAAAAATTAATTGGGGCCACGAGAAAAATTGCTAGCAGTGGCAAACAAAAATGGTAAAAGGGAGATTTCTATATGGAAAAAATGAAAAAAAGTAGTCAGATTTTAAGGAAATCCATTGCATAATAGTGACATGACCAGTCAAGGAGGATGTTACCACTCTGATATCATATTGAATTTATAAGTTTCAAATTATGTAAGGAGGAAATTGTCAGAATAGAAAGTTTGAATAAAATTCTGGTGTATTTTAATGAGTTACAAGGTGATATAAAACATAAACCACACTTTTTTATATTAATACAGTAACACTATAGATCATAATGTTGATTATATCAGGAAACAAATCATGATATAACAAGGAAATATGAAACTAATCTTAAAAGATGATCAAAGATACTATAATCAAGATACTATTTCTTATATTCTAACAGTCTACAAATCTAACAATAAAAATGTTTACACCTCCTACAATAAGGGTACCCGAGGAAAGAAGATATACAAGTAGAAAGATCATAATTGAATTATATATTACTAAAAATTTGCATAACTAATCAAGAGTGTATATTTACCCGTGTTAATTCATAGAAACGCTCAGAAAGCTCAACCCCTACTCTTTTTTCCCCTCTACAAGGGATGAAATAAAAGTTATACCCAAATCACAGTTTGTCCATGTCATTTGAGCTAGGCCAAAGCATCAGCCAAACAAAATTTTCCAAAAACCAATATCATTAGAAATTATTCTCTTCAAATGAATCAAATCTAATAATTAAAAAAAAAAGGTTTAATTCTCAATGAAAGTGTATCTCAACTAGTCCAATCTATTACAGGAGGATGTAATGAAGCTGCAAGAGGTTTAATCCTCCATTGGGCCACACAAGTACTTGCGCCTTCAATGTACCTTTGAGAAAGGCTTGGTTATATATGTTGGTTCTTCTTTTTATCGAATGACAAACAGTATGAATGAAAAATAATACAGGCTTTCAATTTTTAGATTTGGAAAATAGATGTGAATCAAAATAACATGAAAAAATATTTTGTAAATTGGTTGCTTGAGCAGCAATGTGTCATTCTCCAGGGTCATATTATTAAAGTTGTAGATAGAAGGTAGTCTAACCTTCCATCTGGATTTAGCATAAGACACAAAACTTAAAGCATTAGATGATAACATCATTAACAACTTTTAATCTAACCTACAACCTCGATGACCATGATGTCTGTCAAAAAAACACTCTTCCTTCTATGACTTTCTTGAATGATGCAAATTACCAGAAAGTTCTCGATTTAAAATTCATCCGTTGACATTTAATTATGCAATCATATTTACAGCATAGAAAGGAGACAAGACAACTCCTATGCCTCATATGATCGCCATGCCAGTTTTTTACCCATGAATATGGTTATAAAGTGATAGAAACTCCTTAGGCAATATAAAAATCGCCATGAAGTTATTTACTTGTTTCTTTGACTATTATATCACATCAAAATCTTAATTGTTTAAAGCAATTAATTAACAAGCAAGCTCCTTCTTTATCATTTCTCTGTCAGTGACAGGAAACTCCTCATACCTTCACCAATCATCAAGAGAAAGAGACGCATTATGACTAAAATGTCATTGACCATATATGGGTACCAGGCATAATTCTTGTTTTATTATAAGAAATTTATTTACTCAGATTTGCAAAATTCAAAGAAGCCAAGCCAAACAACCTCATGATATCCAGGCGTTAAGCTGCAAATAACTTGAAATACAGTCGGATATCCTTCCATGGGTGACATAGGTATAACCGTCGTCCATCTGTGTACACAAAAGTTAACATATTTAAATTAATTCTATTGTGCAGTTTAAAAAAAAAAAAAAAAAAAAAAGAACTAGCAAAAAGATACAAAACAGCCAAAAATAGCAATCAAAGTGACAGTCAGTGACACACACCGTCACACAGTCACACTTCCCATGTTCAATAACGCACGCACACGTAACTAAGAACGGCTACAACAAAACCACCGAGGCAATAAACAATTCAAAAAATTTAACAGGCTACCTCGTGAAAGAACCTATTAGAAACACCGTTCTTCCTCCGTGAGGCCAAACAAAACGCTTCGGAATCAAACTGGGCCCCACAGGCCCACCGCTCCCGTGCCCTCTACTCGCCCCGAACATTTCCACCCGAAAATTCATAGCACTCTCCGACTCCTAAACCTGCAAACTCAATCGGAACAATCTACCAAAGCAGAACAGAGTCCACCTCAACACTCACGCATGCAGTGCAGCAGCATACCTTCTCCGCGATCAAAACTCACAAAACTCGAAACTCAAGAACTTGGAACTGTGAACCGAACTTGGCGATCGATAATTCAGTACCTGGAATCAACAAAACTCAGAGCCATCAAACAAGCAACACAAACTCTAAAGTAGATTCACACAGTACACTCTCTGAAAATAAAGAAACGAAGAGAAATTTGATTACCTGTATACAATAACTGAAATGAATTCAAAGAATAACGCAGCAATCAACTAAAGCATGTTGAAGTTGGAATGAATTTGTTTAGGTCAGAAGGTGTTGGTATAAATAGAGAAAGAGAGAGAGGGAGGTTGAAGAAAACGGGGAAAACTGGGAGAGCATGGTGTTGGTGTTGCATTGTGGATTGTGTTGGTAAGAGAATGAAATAAAGGAAGGAAGAGAGGAGAAAAACGTGAGGGGGCAAATAAATTGAAAATAAAAATGATGAAGAAAATAAAATTACAAGGGCAAGCAGCATAAAACGGGGAGAGAATAAAGGGACAGAGAGGGAAACAAAGAGCAAAAAAACACTGCGCAGTAAAATTGCGTGCCCCTGCCACCCCAGCGTTCTAAAACGGGAAAACAACAACACAAACGTGAAAACAAAAACGCCTAACCGTCATTGGATTCATGCCATTCCTGTTGCTGTTGCCATCTAATATGAGAGAGAGAAACTGAAAGGGAAGTTTCAACTCCCTAGATCATCTCATTCATGTCATGCTACTAACTTTTAATCATTATTCTTTCTTCAATCCTAATAATTCTAATTTAATTATCTCTTCATTTTCATTTTTTAATTCTAATATATCAGTTTTGTTTACAGAAACTACCAAGGTTTTGTTTTCGAGTTAGTTGAAAGTGATCCTAGCAAAGATCTCATTGATTTGATGAAGTCAAAGATAAAGTCAAGGGTCAACTCTGCAGCAGTCAAACAAGTCACTCAGAACAAAGGAGCTGAAGACTTAGTGTGTCTAAACAGAAAGCTTAGGTAAAACCACTTTACCTTTTCCACTGCATAAAGCTTCTTCACTCAATTTGCAAAATGCCTCAAAAATAGTTTTAAACAAATAAAAAAACAAAAAAGCATTTTGGCAAAGAATTTTCTTAAACAAGTTATTAACTGATAAAGGTTTGAAAGAATCAATTTAAAACACTTAGAATGTTTTAAAAAGTGTTTTTACAATATTTTAATCGATACAAACTTCTTTTAATCGATTAAAACTCTTTATGACCGATTAGAATTCGAATGTAATAGGTCAGAATGCAATATAATCGATCAGATCTTAAATATGAGCGATTAGAATTATTTTAATCGATTAAAACACGTTTCAATCGATTAAAATCACTTTGGATGTCAGTATGATCGATCAGAATGAGATTATGACCGATCAGAGTTGGTTATGATCGATCAGAATTGAATTATGACCGATCAGACTTATTTCAATCGATTAAAACGCATTTCAATCGATTAAAATAACTTAGAAAATCTTTTCAATCGATTAAAACGAACTTTCAATCGATTAAAATGACTTGAAAATATATGTGCAGATTTTCAATCGATTGAAACGACTTTATATCAGCTAAAATAACTTGGAAAGTTTTATAAGAGAGGTTTTTAAACAAATCAATCGATTAATACGTGATTCAATCGATTGTTTTATACTTAGAAAATGTTTGTAAAACGTTTTAACTGATAAAAACGTGGTCGTATCAACTAAAACATTTTCTGTTAAAGATCAAGAACGCATTAATGGGTTGAAAGGACTTTTAACAGATTGTAACGGCTATTTCAACAGATTAAAACAAACTTTCAACAGATTAATTAATGCAGCAGATTTGAAAATACTCTTTTATAAACAGATTTGCTTGAAACTTTGAGATATAGATCACATATCAGTTTTGACACAATTCAAGCAATCAATACAAACAACTATTAGCATTTTTCAAGAAAGATACACAACTGTTTTTGTGAACTTCTTTTGAAATCTTTCTTGAGGCACTTTGCATCCTTGAAGAAGAAACTTACTGTGGATTGGTGTAATCCGGTTTGAGCTTTCTAAGTCTCTTCTTTGTAAATTCTTTTTCATTACTTTGTATTGTGTTGTACCTGGAATTTGGGTACAAGTTTTCTGCAGCTGTTGTAGAAAGTTGCCAAGAACTGGAATTTGGTTCTTGGTGGAAAGGTTAAAGCAAGAGCTGGAATTTGGTTCTTGTGTGTGGTGCCTGGAATTTGGGCACTGGTTTCTCTGCGGCTGGAATTTGGTTGCAGAGGTTTCCAAGAGCTGGAATTTGGTTCTTGGTGGAGAGTTAGAATAGGTGTAAGAGGGTGAGTCTGTAAAACATCTATTCTAGTGGAACCCAGCTGGAATTTGGCTGGAGTCTGGACGTAGCCCTGGTATTGGGTGAACCAGTATAAAATTACCGGTGAAATCTTTCCTAACCTTTCTCTCTTTAATTTCTGCTGCTGCACTTAAACTGTTTGATTGCTTTGTGATTTGTGAATTGATAAGTAATCTTAATTTTCGAATTAGATAATCTGTGTATTGCGAAAAACTTTCAAAAATCAATTCACCCCCCCTCTTGATTTAAAACTACTTTTCTAACAATTGGCATCAGAGCGAGGTGCTTGAAAGTTAATCAAGTTACTTCGATCCATGGCATTTTCTGAGGGAGCGTGCATTGATAGACCTCCACTGTTAAGTGGAACAGATTACCTATATTGGAAAATAAGGATGAAAATCTTCATTGAATCTGTTAGTATAAATGCTTGGAATGTTATTGAACAGGAAATTGATATTGCTAACAGAATTCAAGATGATTGTATTGCCAAAAACATCATCTCTTCCGCTCTTAACAGAAATGATTTTTTTAGGATTGCACATTGTCAAACTGCTGCACAAATGTGGAAGATCCTTGAAAAGACCTATGAAGAAGCACCAGAGATATGCTTAATGGTCAACTCAGAATCACCAAATACCAGTGGCCATGTCAGGATAGAATGCCCAGAAAATTCTGATCAGGTAAGTTCTAGCTCCTCTTCAAATTTAGTTAATTATGATGCATTACAAGAATCATTTAATGAAATGCATGAAGAGGCTAAGAAACTTCAAAAAGAAAATGATAGGCTGAAAGGGCTAAATAACTGGCTAGTTAACAAGGTTGATTCTCTGGAAAAACAGATTAGTGAAAATGAAACTGATAATGAATTCTTGAAACTGATTCATGCTAACTCTGATTGTGAATGCAATAAACCATGCAATAACTGTCCTGAATTGCAAAAGAAAATTGAATTCTTATCTCAAACTGTTTCAAAGTTCACTCAGGGGCAAGCTAATCTTGATATATTACTTGGATCTCAAAAATTAATGTTTGACAAAACTGGAATAGGCTTTAAATCTAGATCCAGTAAAACAAAAACAAATAGGAATTCATACTCTACAATCAAATGTTTCTACTGCATGAAGAAAGGGCATTCAGTAAAATACTGCAGAATTAAAAAGTATGCTATTCCTAAAGGGAGAATGAAATGGGTTCCAAAGATTAATTCTTTTCAAATAACATGATCAGGACCCAATAATTATAAAGGGTACCAGAAAAATACTTAATTGTTTTGCAGGAACAAGTCTGGGAATCCCTTGAAGATCAGAGCTGCGAAACCAGGTTCTGTGTATTTAAATTAATTGTTTTAATTGATATAAATCAATATTAATCGATTAAAATAACTTACTGATATCTGTCCGTACCATTTTAATCGATTGAAATATCGAAATAATCGATTGAACTGATCTCAGGATTTTGGTTTAATTGTTTTAATCGATTGTAATATCTGTATATCAACTAAAAACACTTAGGTATCAAAATAATCGATTCATTTACGTTTTAATCGATTTAAATTCTGGTGTCATGTTATTGATTTCATTCTGTACCTATACTAATCGATTCTTTCATAAAACAATCGATTAATTCACTGTAGATGTTTTCAACCCTAATGTCAAGAATCAAATTAATAGATAATGAGTTGATTAATCAATTAATTAGGTTCTGAAAACATGATTTACAGCATCTAATTAAAGTTTGATAGGCCAATTCGATTAAAAAACCCAGGTCTTTATGATAATCCAGAATCTGCATAATGTGTTTAAATGTCTCTTTGAATTTCAAAAACTTGAAATCCGTTTCTTCATCAAACCAGGTTCTGAACTTATCATTTCTCAACTTATCATCTTTCTTCTGTTTTCATATTTTCAAAATCTCCTCTCAATTCTCTGCTGTAAACATGATCAAAATCATGACTGGTTCGAGCAGTCTGTTTCGAAACGTATCCATATTCAATTTTCTTTCAATGACACAAATTTTTAAATTAGAAAGCGAAGGCTGAACAAATCTTTGAATTGGGAACTCGACCAGTGACATAATGTGGGAAAACTATTACTGTTATTCATGAATGAAAGAGTCTTTTATTTTGACAACAACATAAACATGATTCAAGCTGTAGATGTTTACATTTCTCTTAATACTTTACATGGAATGCTGCATGGTAATACACTGAAAATCAAAGAAATTATCAAAGAATAGACTGTAACTTTTCTTATAGACACTAGTTACAAACAGGTCAAACTGTTAGGACTGAAAACATAGTTGATCAAAGATTCTTTTGGTGATAGTTGATTCTGGTAATAAATTGTTGATTACTAGGAAGTTCAATGAACAAATGTTTACATTAGATTTCTTGATATTACCTAGCAATATTTCTGAAATAATCTTGAGCATGCATTGGTTCAAAACTCTTGGTGAAATTCATTGAACTGTGCAACCCTGATAATTTGCTTTAATCATCAATGTCACGAGGTGACACTGCAAGGGAACCAATCTGGGACAGCAATTCAAAAATTGAATA